TACATGTATGTCACTTCACAAAGGACCAGTCTATTGCGCCTGATAAATCATTCCTGTAATATCCTTATATTATGTTGATTGTATGAAGTTGACATCCTGGTGTTGTCAACTGCTTCAGAGTTGCTTATTTTTCTTGAATATGGTACTATATCAAATGATACAGAGTAATAATGCTAGAACGGTTGTAAATTACTGTAGGAATGAGATAATCAAACTAAAAGTTCCAAACATGTCGTATTGATTGTCCTTCAGCTTGGAGGTAACCGAAGCATAGCATGCATAAAGCAATGTTGTAGCACTTTTGTAGCAGTTCTGTAGCACTTGCGTAGGTGTTTGCACCTACGGTCTCTCTCTCAAATACGGTTTGCCAAGTCAGCCAAAAGGACATGCGTTAATATTAGCATATTACATAGGTGATTACTTATTTTCTGTTATGTATTTCGCGTCGTAGTATAATTTCAGATTTCAAAGTGACTTTTAATCTCTTTGTTTAATGTAATTGCTTGTGTTTCTGTCTTGAACAAGAGGCCCAGGGGGCCTGTATCGCACACCTGAATATTGAAGCAGTCAAAGCAAAATATTATATTCTCATTATATATCAAACTGTATTACAAATATTTCATTCGCAATCTTTGTCGGCTCCATCCGTTGAAGCTACTAGCCAATTATTATTATATACTTCTATGCTTTTTGGTTCTTCTTCAGAAGTTGTTTGAAGAGTCTGACAGATTTGTCCCTGTGATCTGGTAATTAGGTCAAGGTCATTATCCTTCTCAAACTATGTTAGCTTTATCTCAAGAAGCTACAAGCCAAATCTTATGAATCCGTGATTTTGGTTCTTCAGAACAAGTCATTTGAAATGTTGTCGACCTCTGTGACTTTTAAGATAGGTTTAGGTAATTTTCATTTGCAAACTTTGGTGAACTCTATCCCAAAAAGCCACTAGCCAAATATTATATTTCTATGCCTTTCGATTTTTCAGAAGAAGTCGTTTGATGTTTTTGACATATTTGACCCCTGTGAGCTTTAAAGTAGTCATAGATTAAATAAATTCGCAATCTTTCATGAGCTCGATCCAAAGAAGTTACCAGCCAAATATTAGGATTCTATACCTTTCATTTCTTCGGAAGAAATCGTTTAAAGTGTTTAACATATTTGACCCCTGTGGCCTTGAAAATAGATTCAGGTTATTTACATTCTCAAACTTTGTCAGGCTTTATCCCAGGAAGACGCTTTGTAGTTTTTCGGAAAACTTGTGTGAATTGTTTGACACATTTGACCCCTGTCAACTTGGAAGAAGGTCAAGACCATTTTCGTTCACAAACTTGTCGAGCTCAACCCGAAGATGTTTTCAGCCAAATATGAAGATTGTATAACTTTCAATTCTTAAGAAGAAGTTGTTTAAAGTGTTTGACATATTTGACCCCTGTGTAAGTTATTTTCCTTTGCAAACTTTGTCAGGCGCCATCCTAGGAAGTTACCAGCCAACAATTATAATTCTATTGTGTAAGATTATTCAGAAGAAGTTGTAAGAAGTATTTGACACATTTGACCCCAGTGACCTTCAAAGTAGGTCAAAGCTTTGTCAGGCTTCATCCAAAGAAGCTACCAGCCAAATATGAAAAATTTGTACCATTAAGTTCTTCAGAAGAAGTCATTTAAAGCGTTTGACATATTTGAACCCTGTGACCTTGAAAGAAGATGCAGGTTATTTTCATTCTCAAACTTTGTCAGGCTAAATCCCATGAAGATGTCAGCCAAATATTAAGATTCTTAACTTTTCATTTTTCAGAAAAAGTTGTTTGAAGTGTTTTACAAATTTGACCTCTGTGACTCCCGTGACTTTGAAAGAAGGTCAAGACCATTTTCGTTCTTTAACTTGTCGGGATTCACCCAAGAAGCTTTCAGACAAATATTAAGATTTTATTACTTTCAGTTCTTCAGAGGAAGTTGTTTAAAGTGTTTGACACATTTGACCCCAGTGACATTTACTGTAGATCCAGGTTATTTTTATTTGAAAACCTTTTCAGGCGCCATCCTAGGAAGCTACAAGCCATTTCATTTTACTTTATCTCATCGATTAAACTGATGGTTGTCCATACACGTAGGTCAATGTTAAGGCCCAATGATGGCTGAAGTTTCTCCTTTATATCTGATATCGCAATACCTTGTGCATATAGTGTGGCAAGCAATAAAGGTTGAACTTTGAACCTAGATAAATGTTTTGGCGATGTACTGGCTGAAGTCGGAGTAAATCACAGAAGAGCATGTTTACTTTATGTGTAGTAAGAATACGGACACTTTTAAATGAAACATGAAAAATATCCTATAGCCTTCCTTGTGGAGAAAGAATGATTCCCTAAACCAACACTTTAATTAAAATCAGAACATGGCATGACTGAATTTATGAAAGGAGACAGTAATGAAAAACAACCACCAAGGTACAGTAATACAATTCCTCCTAGAGCATTTAAATGGCACAATTATTATAAAATTATATCATCATCGTGCGCAACGTATTTCAACTGTTATTTTGATACGGAATATTAAACTATTTCAATAAAGAATTAATCTTTTTATTTAAGATTTAAGCAGAAAAGAGTGTGAAATTTCATTTTTAACGAGAAATTTTCCATTTTTTACACGTGAATTTATTTAGTTCTAAAACAGGTCTATTTTTCTTACTTGTTCAAAAGTTGGCTACCAATAATATCTTTCAACATCAGGAATTTCTAAAAAAATTGAAACAGGTAAATTTATCATAAACAACTTTTGGTTCAAAAAAAGAAAAACATAGCTTTCTTTCCAAATTTCCTTTAACTTGTGTTTCGTCATGACTAAAGGTCCTTGGGTGTTGATATTTGGCAAGTAGGTTGTTCATGTAAATGAGTTTAAATGTTGTTTTGTTGATGACCTTGACCTTTGTTCAAGGTCACAAAAACCAAATTTGCCGGAATAAAAAATGTGTATGGGGAGTCAGACAATGCTATCTTTCCATGCTTTATTTGTTTAGAGTTAACGATATAAAATAGTGTAATATCCCTTCATATTGTGTTTAATGAATGGTCAAAAGGCAACAAAAAAAATAACTAGAACTGTAAACCAAAGTCTACTAATACCCCGCTCCTATATAAACCAGAATTGTAACCTAAAGGTAACTAAGGCAAACCATTGCAAATTATTCCATAGTTTCCACCAGTAATTACATGTATGTATATATATATGTCACTGATATACTTCTTGTACTCCCTCCCCATGCCAAAATGTACTTTCATACCACATCTTGTTAGCATAGACGACCCACCTTTGCTGAAATCGTTCTAGGGTGAAGGAAGAGTTATAAAGAAAAATATTTTTTAACAAAGGGCCATAACTCCTTAAAAAGGGTCGAAATGAAAAAACACTACCCTGATGTACGACATCAGAGGGTAATAACCATATATGGAAACATTCTTGAAATTGGCCAAGACGTTAATGAGGCAGACAATTACAAGAAAGGGCCATAACTCCTTTTTAAAGGGTCGGAATGAAAACATACTTCATGGATGCAAAATGTCAGGAGGCAGTTACCATATCTGTAAACTTCCGTTGAAATTGGCCCCATAGTTTTGGAGGAGTTGTCTAGACGAGTGTTTTTCAACAAAGGGCCATTACTCCGTACAAAAAAGGGTCAGACTGAAAAAATATTCCTGGATGCATACCATCAGATGGTTGTTACCATATCTGTAAACTTTCGTTGAAATTGACCCCTTAGTTTGGGAGGAGTTGTCTGGACAAGTCATTTTTTTTAACACAAGGCCGTAACTTTGAAGAAGAAAAAAGGTCAGAATGAACAAATAATACCTGGATGCACAACCTCAGGTGTTAGTTATCATATCTGGAAACCTTCGTTGAAATTGGTCCACTACTTAAGAATGAGTTGACAGATAGACGGATAGACAAGCTGATTCCAGTTTATACCCCACCCCCACCCCTAACTTCGTTGTGGGAGGTATAATAAAGTGTATTATAGTTTTATTATTAAAATTATCTTATTATTTTTAGATAATTGCATAGCTTTGTCTATAACACAATCTCAAACCTAAAGTTGTTCTCCAGAGGAAAGATTACTATGACAGAATAAATATTCATGATATATTACTGCTGCACATAACTTTAAACATGCCTAATATAATAAAGTGTTTTAGTATGATACAAAAACAGAAAAAGTATCGGTATTGATCATAATAAACATTGATAGTCAAATCTTCAAGGCTATGTGAAATTGGGCATTGATCATGTTTGGCATGCTGAAAGAGTACTTTACCGGTTTTGATATTACATAAAAATAATTCTGTAGACAGAATACATATATAGGAAGCTTTTAAAGAAGTTTAAAATAAAGACTACCATTGTAACTTTACATAGGCAAGTTGACAATGTTAGTTATATTTTAAATGTTGTGAAAATTGTGCATTTTTTTCCAATTAAAAGTATCACTACGCTTATTTAATGTCTACCAATATGATATATTTAGTATCAAAATAACAGTAATCTTGTACACTATACACTATCATAATTCATTTCCAAATTAACATTTGCCTGTGATATTTATCGGTCATTTTGTTAGGATACCCCCGTTTCTCAACCTGGTGTTATGCAAGGAGGTCCACTACGGTTATCAGTAACAATTATGAATAATCATTTATGCAGTTATTGATCATTTTTATGTATCTACACATGGCAAAAGAATAAAGGAAATCAAATTGGGGCCAAATATTGACCCCACCTTTTTGACACAATTGCATTTTGCCTGCTTATAAATACACATTGTCTTGATACTTGTTTATTTTAATATATAGGTTGCATTACAATAATACACCTGTGTTTATTTCCCCAATTTCATTTCAAAACTGAATCGAATATATTTGAAAAAAACAAATACTAAGAAAATACGGTCCCATAGTTTCAAATGTGTTTTTACAAATACATTTTAATTTGACCCGTGATACATGGTTCGTGTATCCGGCATACGTATAGTATTGTATTATGCTGTTCTTTCGTTACTTAAAATCACAAGTTTCGTACCTCATATTGTTTCATTCATGGGATTCGTGATGAATCCACAGCGTTCCGACAATGTTCAACACTGTTGTAGTTACTCTAAATAATGCAAATTACTAGATCACTGCTATTACACGAGATCCTGCCCACCACTATGTCAAGGAATTTTGAATAGAGTCGCATATTTGAAGTGTAATGAAACGTTAACGTATCCTTAAGGTTTTAGATTAGCAGGAGATAAATAAATAGGCGATAATTTGCAGGTCTCTTTTTTAAAACTTTCTGATTAAGATTTTCTTCTCTAGATTAAGATACAATAATTCGAAATTTTTACACTTAAGTGAGAAGTTACTTTTTCTCTTAAATTGTTTATTTAGATTTCCTGATTGTTATAACAACAATACACCTCATCTAACAAATACTGTCAATTTAACGTTCGAAAAAAAACAAAAAAAGAGGACAACATGAAATCTGGAAATAAAAATTTGTATTAGTAAGCATAGAAAATCGATCACACTAATTGTCAATTATGGCTGTCATTTCTGTCTAGTAAAATGTTAGTTTCATGACTGATAAAACAACTCAATGGAAGAAAAGATCCGATCAATAGATGTAGTAAACAATTGATACGTTGAATTGCCTTCAGCTTCATAACTTATGAATTGATTAGCAACCACTCCATCCATGATTGCATATTTACATAATATACAAGTAGATATTTTAACTGAAGGAATTGTTACTGTAAACATTTGAAGAAAGATACAAACATATAACAAAGCGTATATGACATGCGATATATCAGCGAGCTAGCTTGTTCTTTAAACACAAAGGGAAAAGTGAACTATATTATGACCGGTAGACTGTCGTTTGATGACATACACTTATACTCTATACATCCACTATTGTCATATCACTATCCGCCTGCTGAGTTGAATTGGTACAATAAGCGGGACGTTTGATCATAGATTGGTATTTGTTTGGTGGCATTGGTCTGGGTATGTTTCCTGGTTTCTGATTAAGTGGAGACTGATCCATGGTTCTTGATTCGGATTTAAACGGATCCGTATCCGATGGTGGGATAAATGGGGGAGGCTCTTCTTGTGCATCGTTACAGGGTTGCACTATTGAATCTGCGCGAGAAAAGATGGCTTCATCGTCCGGGATCAACATTCTACAAAAATAACAACAATGCAGTTTCAATTAACATTACTTTACTGCCACTATCTGCATCAATTATTCAGACATCATTTGACGTTTAATACTAGGTTTCAGGTTCGCTATGAATATGTTCTATTCTAAATAGCCCTATTTTAGACCAAACAGCAACATATATTTTACGTTTGTTATAAGGATTCTATTCAAGATAGCCCTATTGTTATAACTTACCTACTCATCCGTATAGAGTCCTTTTTCAGGTTTTTGTACCGGTAGGCTAATATGATACCAGCACCAACCACGACTAAACCGCTGGACAGGAGAACGGCTGCAAGGTATCCGGCATTGATGTGACATGTGTAGAAAGCAACATGGTCAGTGCAGTCGAACATTAAATTGCAGGGATCTTCTGCACACTCATCTATTTCTTCATCGCACCACTGACTACGATAGCCAGCATTACAGGCGCACGTATACGTGTCAAAACTAAGAGCTCTGGCACTGTCGTTGCAAGGAAAGGCCCATATGTCCGTTTGAGCACATCTGCCATGGATGCAAGGTGAAACAAGCACAAATACATGAACGTCTAGCTTAGCAGTCATTTGACCGCCCTGGTCACTTCCTAGTAGCTGGTAATGTAAATGTCCGTGGAAATCTTTACTTGTTTTTAGTGTCAAATCAATGCGTTTGAATGTTCCGCTTTGTAGTGGCGTAAATGTATTGTTTGGTACTACGTGTTGACCAGATTCCTCCTGGATAAGGACGGCGTCTGTTTCGATCATAGTCCGACTGACTAACTTCAGACTATCACCAATGTCGGCATCTACTATTAGAAGGGATCCAACGTCGTGGTCAGTGTTATAACTTTCCAGAAAAATAACAATTTCTGCGTTTAAATGGTCAGCCAGCGTAAAGTTATTATCGTGCGATAAGAATCCAACTATAGGTGCATCATCTACACTACTAATATGAATTGTAATAACCTTTGACACTGAATTTTTATTTTCACAAACAGATGTTTCTTCTGCCTCGATTTCAATTTGTATTTGTCCCGAGAACTCTTGAGGCGGTTGAAAAGTCAGGAAGCCATCACCTGTCACATTTACTTGTCCTGAAGCTGGTTGTTTGCTTGAGAATACCAAACCGTCGTTGTCTGCATCAGACCATAGCAACTGATGACGAACGACAGGTGTGTCTTCTGTTGTGTAGATAACGTCGGTGGTAATAGTGGGCGCTGCGTTGATACAGGAGCTCTGCATCTTAAATAGTCCAAACTGGTTTGAAGATGTAAAAACAGCAGGGTCAAAGGTGGCATCACGTTTCGACCTTGTATTGTCTACTGGAACATTACCTAGAAGGGTTGCATGGCATACCTGAAAATAGATTTATTTTTTCAGGAAAATGCAAAGAATTAGTGTTATTTTAACACAGACCCGTGCACGTTTACATGGGGTTTTTTCCGCGTAGCATTTCCGTAACAATTCCACAGAACTTGCATAACGTTTTCGCAGCACTTATGTAGCATTGCCTTTGCATTTGTGCAACGTTTAGAAGTTGCAATAGCACAAAGTTTGAAAGTTGCAAGTTTGAAAAGCAAACATCACCGGTTCTATCGAATGCATACAATAATGTCAAAAGGAAAGATGATTTTCTTCATATTTCAAATTATATTTTAACAAGAATATAGGCTGTTTCCAACTGTTGAATGTACCGGTATACTCCTCCCTAATGAATAACGTTACTATCAAGGTTTGTAAACGTTAATTTGTCATGGTCTTTCAAATCAGGAAAACATGTCCAACATTGACATAGAAAGTGGATAATGTAGATCGCGAGTCAATGGGTAAATTTACAAGTACTTTACCTTAGTCGTAAGATATGTATGGTTGACCTGTTTACTGATCCTTTCCGGATCACATTCCTCCTGAACATGTAGCCATTTTCCTATACCTGTTAGTAAAAGGACAAAAACAGATTACCCGTCACATGAGATAGGGGCTCATCGCAAGTTGTGATAATAAAATCAAGTTGAGAAATATAGATATAAAAGTAGTCACGATTAAATGTTACAGCTAAAAAGGTAGTTTAACTAACACCAAAACAATTGTGTTTAAAAAGCCTTATCACCCTTGAATTATGAACACAAATGTAATAGTAATACAAAATAAGACTTTACAGAAGAAAAAATATAAATATATTACATGTTATAGTCTACAATAATTGTCAGCATAACGGATAATATGAAACGCCACAGATACTTACCACTATCAGCAGTGCTCCAGAGAGCCAAAGCGGGTACTGTATCGTTGTCATAATCGGTCTCGTTGATCTTAATACGTATTGTTATCTCCAAGTCGGATGATTCGATGAAAGGCATCGGTGATATGAAAAAGGAAAGTCCTTGATATGCCTGAAATCTAATAAAACGAACATCGTCTTAATATCGATATAATTACCCACGAAAAGTGCTTTTAAATTGATGGAATTGTTTTCAGCAAATTCCGATTTTCATTCTTTCAGAAACTATGTTATTTTGTTCAGATATGGAACCGAAGCATTACGAGACGTGCGTTTTGCACATCATGTGAAAACAATACGTGCAAGATGTGCGCAGCATGCACAAACGATTAAAAAACTGGGCATTAATAGCTTGCACAAATCTGGGCTCAGGATTGATGAATGAAACATTGGATGTGCGATCGTTGATGGTGTGAATTTAGGAATGGCTTAGGAATAAATGAGATTATGTTTTTGAACATTGTTTTTAAATTTATTTGCATGTTGCAATGTTTCATCTAAATATCAGCTTAAAGCTGAATATAAAGTTTGATAGATATTTTGAGCAATTTTAAACGACCGAATTCGCCTGGTGAACACTACATATCGTGCACGGTCCCATATGTGTATACAGATAAATTCGACCGCCTTGTACCTGGATGGTTTCTTGTCATCAGAAATACGTCACCGGCCAAACTGTGAACATATCCGGTGTGTGACAGAGAAAAGCTATAGACCGACAGAAACGTAATTAACAAACGTGTAATTTTCAGCTATGTTTTGAAAACTGAGTTATCATCGATCAACACTTGTCCATGTTTTATAAAAAAAAAAAGTCGAATGATTGGCGTCAGATCAAAGTACTGGTTTCTTATCAAAATGTTATCTCCCTGCCTGGTAACTCTTGGCTGTGTAACACAAACTGTAAAAGCGAATATACCGGTAGGAAATATAATCATACAACATACAATTTCAACTATGAGAGAAGAAATGCACAATTGTGCACACGATATACCGAAATTGGACGTATAATGTGTGCTGTGCGCATGTTATGTTTTGGCCTGCATTATAAGCCTGGTGCGAAATCATGTGTAGTAAATACACAATTATGTTAAAAGCGGGCATTCTGATCACAGCAAATATAAGTAAAATAAAAAAAAAGAATATTATAACTAAAACTGTGTTCATATTCTGGAATCTATACATCTAAATTACATTGTAATGAAAAGATAAAAGGTCAAAAAATACAAAAAGACGACACATGAAACAGTACAATTGGAACATGAAGACATATAATTGTGGTAGCACAGATATCAATATGTTACGGTCTACCTGTTTTTGAGTAGTCTTGAAGTGTACATCATCGAAGATTGGGGATCGACGATGTAAGAGGAATACTCATCGGATGCATCAGTCCCATAATTTTTAGCGACGTCATCATTGCTCAGATATCCTATCATTATGCCACTGTGACTTGCTACAAATTTTTTAAAAAAAATCAATATGAGATTGTTGGATGATCCTCGATAATCTTGCAAACAATATAAAGTTAAAATTTTATGCTAACTATCTCAAAATTGTTTATATATTGTATTAACGACAAATAATGACTTGCTAAAAAATAAAAAAATAAAATAAACAAAAACATAAATAGAAACTTTGTCTAAAAATGATAGGATTTTCCTCGATAATCTTGCAAACAATATGGAGACAATGTATCATGAAAGCTTCAATGTATCTATCTTGTGATATGACATCAACAAACCTTGTATTTCGATCACTACATTGCCATCATTTGGCAGTCCCGATCCTGGATTAAGTTTCCTAATACTTCTATCCGCCATCATGATAAGTGTTGCGTTCTGCTTCTCATTCAGCACAAGTCGGATGTCACTAGGCCCTGTGACGTATAAAATTTATAAGGAAACGAAACTAATTTTATCCCCATAACCCGTTTAATCTAAAACTAATCTGACCGACATGTTCTGCCCAACTGTGAAACAGACTAGATATGTTTCACTGTAATCTGGATATTTTTTCGGCTAAAAATAATTGAAGTATAATATATTTACTATCTTTATTCATAAAAATGCGACTTGGGCCTTCATTTCAATATCATGTTATTTTCAAATGAAATGGAGCAAAACACATTTTCAAGCTAAATGCATTTGTCATAAAGTAAGCCATTAATCTCATAGGTGATTCAGATTGTATCAATTTACAGCAAACCAAACAATTTACAAACATACTTGTGATGCATGTTGGTTTTGTCGGAATGGAACTTCTTAAGTGCGATCTCCCGACCGCTACGATCGAGTGATGAAAACATTGGCCCGGTTCCAGCAGCAACAGAGACCCATCAGCTGTGTCGTTTGGCTGGTCACGGAACATTGACACAGTTGAATTCATGTTCTCACCATTAAACCAGACGTGACCGTGGATTATTTCTGCTTGTCCCGTCTTTGTCACCCCTACTCTGATCAGCGGGAGGATGTCAAGTTTGTCTGGGCCTGTTCCGATGCCCCACTCTAAATGATGATAAAGTTATAACAGACATACGCAGCAATGAAGCAAAAAACATACTCTAATCTTTACTAAAGGGTTATATATGGTGAAATGCTTTGATGAATAAATGATAAGAGAGGCTTTCTCCATTTTAGAAAACATATCTTTCATTTTTTTTCAATTGTGTTTACAATCATTTTTATTTGACTGTTCCTACCTAGCAGACAAATGGTAATTGGAACCAAAGCATCTTTTTTCACACTCCTCAGCACTTTTGCATTTTATACTGTAAACACAGTGTACCTTTTGTGACAATTTTCATCGTACAATAGCAGTCGATCACAACTCGACTGTGTCCTGGAATATACTCAGCCTTTGTTAATGTTTCGCTTGAATGCATTATGTTAAATAATTATTTCAGATACAGATATGCACTTTTAACTATCTTATTTAGTACATGAATATCTGTATCTGAACATTTTCTATATTATTGTTGTTGTTATTACATCTTTATTGGAACCGTCTGGTCTGTTGACTCTAATAAAATAAATAAATCAATGTGATCATGCTCTTTTATTATCAACTTACGCAATCAACCAACGTTGTTTTAAGATGGACTTAACATACACAAAGAGTAGGTAACTGCACCTTTAAAATTGTGTAACATATACAGTATGCTTAAAATGATTTACACTGCATCACACAACGTATCTTCCTTCTAGAACTCATCGGTGATGCTAAGGACAAAACAGCTAAAGAAACAGGGGGACAGGTGCTTGAAACCCCTTTATTTATTGATTAAAATATTTTGAGGAGTACTTGTTAATTTCAAACTTACCGTATATGTCAGCTATGTCGTCTTCACTGTTCCAGGCAACTCCAACGCTGTCCTCAAACTCCGTAAATGATACATTTACAATTGGGTAACCATTTTCATCTGTAGGTTGGTATTCAAATAAGGATTTTGTTATTACGTTCTCAACATTTGGAGGATACAACTCCACAGTAAACTTGCACGAAAACTTACCAGGGGATCCTGCTGCATTATTTGCCCAGACATTGAAATAATACGTATTTCCGTGATTGAAGAGTTTTTCATTTTTTAAATGAATATGACTTTTCGTTGCAAGACCAACATCGGTCATGTTATAGATATCAGCACTATTCTGAGATGTGCCAACGCCTACAGAGTAGGAATATATCTCGCTTTCTGGGTCCGAACACGACCAGTACGCCGCTACGCTGTTGTTTGTCCCAATGTACTCGGTGGGCTCTTCCATGCTGTTGTCAGGGTCGAGACACCTGACATACTCGCACACCGCAGAGGTCGTGTCCACCATGATACCATTGGATCTGGAGAAAGAGCTCTGTCCGGCAAAGTTAACCACTTCGATAGTAACGTAATATGTATGAGACTCTTCAATCTGAAATTCATTTTCCGACCCATTGATAGCAGACGCTATTGTTGGCAATAAGTCTAGACCGGTAATTTCAATTTTCATTAAATCAAATTCGCCAAACTGACATTTTGCTGGACAGTCCTCTAAACATTCTTCTTCACATGGCAAACACAGGGACATATAGTGTCGCATGGGATATATATTGTCAGTTGAAATGTCACTGTCACTAATTCCTACCCAAATCTCCTTTATGTTACTCTCCCCGTCGAAGAATCCGGAGCCATGCAAACATAGCCTCTCTTGGTCAGTCGGGATCTGAACACTCGCAACAATTACATCGGACCGGAACGGTTCAAACATGTTTTCTATTGTTGGTTCGTAGTTATTATCATTTACAGTGCTAATAAACATATTCATACTATTCCCGAAAGTTATTCCGTTTGCTATGGCTTTAATTATCCCGTTCACAATTAATTTGATATTTTGTCTCTTTTTACCCCGAGCAGATTCTGTTTCTAATGTAAATATAATAGTTCCTTCCGATGCTGACGGATTGGTATCCAATGTAATCCATTCTTCGAAGCTTTTATATTGGCCAACAACCCAAAACATAGCGTCCCAGTGATCACTTCCATTTTGTTGAGTCCCCATGATGCTTAATCCGAAACCAAACCTTTCGGAATTCGGAGAATCTCCGTGACTGCTAGTTGTAACATTTCTATCTGGTTGAGACGTGCTTAAATATGAAGAGGTATACGTGGATGTTGTGGCAGTAGGATCTTGTGATGTCGAAATGTTAGTCACATCTTCCCGATCGTCTTCTGGTATTGTCATATTGAAGGTAACTTCATTAATAGCAGTTATATGTGGCGCAGTGTAATTCGTTGGAAAAAGTTGAGATTCCGAAGCAAAGGAAATAATCGTAATAATATCGACACCACTTGCCGCCTTAAGTGAAACAGTGTAATTCCCTGGCAACAAAGATATTTGTGTGCTTTTCATGCCGCTTCTAAAAAACTTCGTTTGAGCCGTGTTGTACCCTATTGTTAGCGTCGCTTTGTTTTCAGCAAATTCCACGAATTCTGGACTGTAAAATCCGGTCATTTTTACCCAGGAGGGACCATTTGATGAGAAGCTCGGGAACACTACTCTTTGATTCGGACAAACAAATTGTTCGTGAGATCTGGCTATAGCAATCCATGATGTCATTGTTTCTTTCGAGGATTGAAACGTAGAAGCAGTGTACCAGTTTGGAGCTATTTTCACATCCCCTACTAAAGGAGCAGATACATCTAACCGGAATCTGGAACTAATGATTGAAGATTTGAGACCAGCGGTATTTAAAGCAATTACTTCTATAAAATAAAATACATTTGGCAATAACATCAGCTGATACAAAGTGATCTTAGTATCAGCTGTAACCAAAACGGAATCAACCTTGAACTCCGGAGAAACAGTTTTCATCGAACAATCACTCATCTCGTATAATGTCACCTCAAAAGAAGCAATGCTACTCTCATTTTCTGTGAAGTTTTTCCATGTGACATCAAGTTTTTCACTCTCATCGACAAATATATCGTCTTTTTTATCATCCGCTACCCTACCGATATGTAAAACTGTGAATGTAAGATCTGGTGGAGTGATATCGACTAAAATTGGTGGTGACGTCACAGAACGACACATGTCAGCCTCGTTGACAGCTACAACAATGATGTAATACACATGACCATGTTTCAGGTGAAGATTCTGCAGCTGGACAAGAGTATTAAGTCCGTTATCTGACATGGGTTTCTCGTCTAACAGCTCTAATGAGCTGTGAAAGTTTTCACATGTTGTTGTTACATTTGTGTAAACAGTGACGTTGTATTTGAAATCATTGCTATAAACACCCACAAGGTACTGTTTTATTCCTATATCAGACTGAAATTCCGTCCATGATGCGATAATTTTCGAACTGTCAGATTGAACGGCTGGCGTTTCGATCAACCCAGAAACGATCTGGTCTTTGAATCCTACTTTAATACCATTTGATGAGGCCTCATCTTGACTACCAGAAATACTTATACCTCTCACCGTTACATAATAAGTAACATCCAGGGCCGTCAAATTTAAATTATGGAACGTGTGAGATCGATTTAAACCAACACCAACATAATAGTGAATATTCGATTGGGTTTTTGGATAACTATGGTCATCACCTATAGCAACTTCATAGTAACGAATTGTCTGTGTAGGATCCCCATTTTTGTCACCAAAGTCGTCCCAATTGGCGGATAGTTCTTCAACGCTTTGCTGATAGTTGATGTCTTCATACAGACCGTCTCGGACATCACCAGGGCTCGGTGGTTGAATACGGATCGTGATGCCGTCAGAAGCCGACGTGAAGGTTCTGTTTAACGCGTCTCTCACCTTTATTATGTTTATGTAGGTGAATCCATTTTTCAAAGTAAATTCGTCGTTATCAAATACCTGCGCGTTCTCAGCAACATCTTCAAACTCTTTAATAACGTTTCCTAGGAGATCTTCTATTCCCCACTGAACCATGTCAATAGCGCATGTATCGGAGAAACGCCAGAATCCTCTGATTGTGTTTAAATTACTTTGATAATCTTCGTCTCCTCCCGGACTTCCATCGCCGACGGTCAATATTGGCCGGACACTGACCGTTACACTGTCCGAGTAGAACATTTTAGACAAGCCCGCTTTGTTAGTCACTCTCGCCGCAGCGTAAAAAGTGTCACCATGTCCAAGGTCAAGATTTCCAAAGAATATTTTACCTACTAATGGCACATCTAAATAGCGATGAATGTCGTTGTGGCCAGGCGAGGAACCAATGGCAACTTCTATCCTGATAACAGATTATAATATTTCTAAATGGTATTATATAATTGATGGGTTATTACATCAACATGCGATACAAATTTACGGTTTCCGTTAAAATTGGAATAAGATATTTTTTGTAATCACTACATTGCATTGAATTATCAAGATACAGCTCTCTTTAAATAACAACTTAAAATGTAGCATTATCTCGTTATAGCGTGTTGGTTTATCAAAATGAAAAAAAAAATGTTATCATTATTTCTTTGAACTTTTGAATAGATAGTCGGGCAAACTTAATTCGTTGCAGCTATCTAGTATACGAAAATGAAAAACAAAAGTAAAAATTTATTTATCGTCTTGATTGAACTATCGTTTAAATGGTGGGCCATACTTATACGCAGGCACATAATACAACTGTTAAGCGTTGTACGCTATGTGACTTTAAAATAATTGAATGAATCAATTACAATAGAAGGATGTAATAAATATGCAAGTCATTGATTTAATTTCATATACCTATCTTAGGCAGAACGTTTTTCATACGCAACTGTATAGATTTACAGGTATACGATTGTAAAATATATAACTAACAGTAGCGAAATTCAGAATCTAAAATATATGTATGTCATTTAGTTATACATATCAGATTTAAACGTTTTTATTTCTCTATATAATGTTGAATTTTCATTTGAATGAGAAAGATTCAAGGTAAAACAGTGAGATATATCTGGCTACTATCTTTGATATATTCCCTTTAATCTGAGTTTCAGCAGAGGTAACTTTGATACCTATATCGCAATGACATAGGCATGCATGAAAAAGAAACTTTTAGGGACAAACACGATAATGTAAATTACAAATCAGATTGGTTCTTAAATAACTTTTAATGAACAAAAATCAGTCACGATATGTTGTCTGACTATCTACATGTGTTTTGTTCCCTTTAAAATTGTAACAATGTGTATATTTAAAGACTCAAGCAATAATTATTAGCCCATGTAATGAGCATACATATGCAACTGGTATAAAGAATGCAATGTCGTTTTAAGGAGAAAAAAAAATCCGTAATATTGAGATAATGACGGTGTAATTAGGATATCGTTTTGTTGTAATTGAAAGATACGTATGTCATTTAGAATTAAAATAAGAATTAAGCTATATATATATTTTCAACTTTTATGCCCGATCGAGGAATCACATCCAGACCGTAAGTGCGCTCTCCACTGCGCCACCTGTCCGCAATAAATGTGTCATAATCAAAAAGTTACAGTTATTTTAAGCAACACTGAAAAACTTCTGTAGAAATGCAGCGCCATTTCAATTGCCATAAAAAGAAACACAATTATGTATCCAACCATGGATACGGTAAACAATTATATTGGAGACAGATGATTATAGTTATATAACACATGTATTGTACCTCAGAGCAATTTGAGTGAACTGGTGTTTTGGTCGGTTAATTTAGAAATGTGATGGGGGAAAATAAGTAAATATATTATCATATTTATGGATATCATGATGGTTAAGCACCATATACCTTTTGATGTTTTACCCACAAGCCTTATTTTATAAATTATACCTTTCATCATATGTGTAAAATGGTCAATGAAGTCGTAAAACTGAAGAGAAACATCAGCAACTGCTACAGTAAAAAATAATAACAAGGCTCAAATAAAACCCCTTGCTTAAAGATTGTTAATCAGCAGTCATAACCTATCACAGAAATCATATGATGAGTAAGGTCTTAAATATAACTCTCAAGATAGGGAAAGTGCTTGATTGGAAAATCGAATTCGTCACGCTTGCGTTTCAGCTTTGTAGGTACCCTTGTTGGTCATGATGTTAATAAATAAAGAGCAAAATTATTAATTTACACGAATTTGCATTATCCTTAGTTTCAATGTCGTCAGCAGGGTGAATAATATCGATGTGCCCAATACATGTCTTGTTATGTAAAGCAGAACATCGGCGTTATATCTTAATGTAAAATTGAAGGATTCATATTTTGTTAACTTAAAAAAGGCGATGAATTCATAAGCCGACATTCCGTTTAATTTTGTGTCGATCTCCACGTGAAACTTCCCTAAGTACACATGTATCATTTAGTGACCTACGAATAAAAACTGCCATTTTTTTTATTTTTTTTATTAAAGACGACATGTCCTCAAAGAACAACTACCTGTTTATACTATTTTTGATGAATATAAACATTAAATCAGCACTAATTAGTTGATACAGAATGATTGTACGATAAAATTAAATAAAGCTTGTACTCACTTTTCAATGCCAGTTTCTGCGTCTGTAGGGTTTTCCACTAATACGTCAACAAATGTCTGAGGGATTTGGCATCGTTGGTGAACTGTGATTTCCTCTGACGACATCTGTGTCACAACTTTAACGGTCAAAGAGGAAGGCGGTGTATTATCCACTTTAACCGTTTGTACATAAATCGTATTTTGAGAGAGGATGTTTGAAACGGTCAGATAAATTGAAAGTTCTGTTGCATTCAAAAGGTCAATCGCGTCAACGACGAAATATCGTCTTCCATGCGGTATTTGGAGTTCAATTGGTAGCTTGTTGTATGATGAAAAGATGTTTATCGTCAATGATTTTACTACACTCTCTTCCTCGACAACGAATTCCCATGAGCATGCTACAATAGATCTTTCTAATGAAACAGCTTCTGTGCATTTTAGAGATCGAACCATAGGCGGTGATATGTCGGCAATGACTGGGTCAGTAGTTATATCTTGGCGATTTCCAACCAGATCCTCAACTTTTAATGTCAGAAAAGTTGATAAACCTATAGTAGGTGATAAGAAACCTGTTGGTGTACCCATAGTGTCAATTACTTGGGTCGAAATTACATCTGTCAGGACCGGAAGACTTCCAGCAGAAACTGACACCATCTTTACAGCTGAATCATCCGAAACGTTCCAAACAAGATCAAGAGAATCAGCGTTGGATTGGTAGTAGACGTTGGCATAGTGTACATAGTGCGTGTCGCCCGGGACTGGTCCGATATAGTGGATTTCTGGAGCTGAGGTATCGAGTTTGATCCCGTCGGACGATGCCACTATGTACTCTTCATGGCAGTTGTGTCCCGGCTGTGCCCTTACAGTGACGTAGTAAGTTTCTCCCTCTGTGAAGTCCATATGTATCTGAGCCTGTCCATGTGACGAGTTGTGTACCATAAGTCCATATCCTGTGTAAGGTAATACGTCGGACTTGAACGCATCAGAACCAATCGCCCATTCATACTTTCGAATATCACAAGCCTCACTTTGAAATCCAGCGAATGTGATAGCTAATGAACCCCTATCTCTTGTATAGTCTTTATCGATGGATACCTCTCTGCCATCAAAGATTTGGCCCGGTACGTTGGCTTTAAGTAATATTATAGGTTTAGATGATACGGTGTTTGACTCCAGTCCTGCACCGTTGATAGCTTTAACGGATACGTAATACACTGTATTAGAATCAGAAAACGTTTCTAGTTCAATGTCCTTTATTGTCAATATCTTCTCAGTTCCTCCGAATTCTATGAAGTTTCCAGTGATTGATAAATCTCCAGGTGTTGTTCCGATTGCTAAATAAACTTTATCAATTCCACTTTCCGGATCCTGGCCTACCCAACTTATGGTTAAAATGTTAGGATCGACATGTAACACTCTGTTCAGCTCATCTACGTCCTCCTCTTCTTTTGGGAGTCCTACATGTACCTAGAATTATTGAAACAAAAAAATAAGCAAAACGTTCAATTAAAATAATGAATAGTTTATTCACTATTTGCTCTGTAGTCGCTGTATTACATCTATATTGGATTATTATATGTTTTCATAATCAGCAGTTGTCATTTCAGTTATCAGTTACATTTAGATAAAAGAAGCTTGAACATATTTTTTGCGTCCTTACCTTTGTCAGTAATGGCAATGTTCCGTCAACTACTACACCAAAAGATTCATGGGAGGTCGAAAGAAGAGCATTGTTGATAGCTGTTACAACAATTGTATACATTGCGCCATTAACCAAAGTCATTTGATCAATTTTGAGATTTACCGGTCCTTCCTTCAATGCAGAATGTGTTGTCTCGTAGGCGTCATTCGCAGGCCATGACTTGTGTTTACCGCCCTGATGCTGTTTGTTTATGAAATATCTATATTCCTTTATTCCAGAATCACCATCTTCAAATGACCACGAAACATCTAGGTGGTCGTTGAAACTTTGATAGCGTTTAGCATTTTCTGTGTCAATGATGTAGTTCATCACCGGTGGCGTGTGGTCAACCAAAAACCCGTCTGACGTCACATCTGCTCTAAGCCCCGCTCCGTTCTCGGCAGTGACGACAAAACCCACTTCATCAAGGTGATTCATCGCGATAGATATTTCCGTAAACTGGGTAAGTGCAAATAATTCGAAGGTCTGGATATATTCCCTATTTATGAATAATGAAATATCATATTTTGAAATGTGGCTTTCAGGATCAGAGAAATTATTCCAGTTACAAGATTTTGTAGCCGTTTCAGATGAAAAATCAATATCCTCTCCTAATATCGCTCCATCCAAAACTCTCCCCGGCAGTAGAGGGGTAATGTCAATAAGGACTGAAAATTAAACGACAGGAAATTACAGTAAATCATAGGAATCTATACAGAAACATTTCGACTCACGAAAGTATGGTCGAGGCCATTTATGAATTATTTCCGAATTAAAACAAATGCACTTGAGATGTTGCATCACATTTCTTTTACAGACATTAAGCCAATCGCCGTTAACAAAATCATAACTGATTATATGATATCGCACAAAGTAATTTGTACACAAATATAATTAACACATAATTTTATATTATAACCTTTCTAATAGCTAAACCTGTCGTTGATGATCCTGATATCCTAATCCGTCTGGATGCTGTTATGCCATGTTTTATGATAACAAAAAAATGCTAGTATCTTCATCAACTTTTATTTTACAATAATGTTGTGTTTAATATGATGCCTGATAACACTGTGTTCACTCTACTTGATTGAGACGAAAGCAGGTGGTACATGATTATATCATTACATATTTAGAAACTAAACTGTACTAAAGTGAAATAAACACAAACTTATGTATCGTATCAGTTAATCAAACGCCATATATCCGTTTGCATATCTAAACCCATTATAACGCCATCGTCGTTTGTAAACATTTGTAAACCAGCCTATAGGGTAAGAAGATGATTAGAACGTTATGGTAGTCTTTGATGAGTCATAACACATCATATGAATTTTACTTAATATGATAGAATAAGTCAATTTCAGGTGAAAAAATGACTTTAGTTTGATCTGAAATGGACTTGATTTGTTTTTTATGTTAAATCCAGGTTGATTTCAGGTCAAATTCAGGTTAATTTCACCTGCAATTGCCTATTATTTTACTAGCTATTTTTGTACAACTCACCTGAACATTTATATGAATTGACATGAAGCGATTTTGCTTGTATAACATATTCAAAATGTCTCCTTTAACCATGAGCTTGCTAAGTGTTACATGTAGATCATGTAGGTTATCATGTCTTTCACACAACTGAAAGATATACGTACACATTAACGCGCTCTGTATAGAGCCTAGACAAATAACTTTAAGATATCTTACCTCCGTCTGACTTTCCGCTTCTCTCTTTCGAATTAAGTGCAGCGTTATAGGCTTTCACTGTTGAGAAGTAGGTCGTATTGTGTTTCAGGTTCAGATCACCGGCACAAGAACGCTTGTAATGGTGGGTCAGGTTATGGTACTTTACAACGTCATCCGCACCCGTAATAGTTCCGACACCCCATATATAACTGTGTGATAATACAACGAACAAAGTGAATGTATTGATAGTTATCAGGAATATTTAATAAAAATAATTAACAATGACAACAGAATTCGTGATTTGAGTCGTTACCTGTATATTTCTGATTAACTCTATGGTACCAAAGTAGGCATATATAACGTGAAGAAAGTAAGTAAGCAATAGGCTATTATAACTCAACAAGACTCAGTACTGACTCCCTGATACCAGACTCCTCGTCGTAGAAGCTGACCCACTGGGCACACATGGTGGACGTGTCGGCCTGATAGTCTACGTCTGTGTCAATTTGGTTCCCATCAAGGACAACACCAACATTAGGCGGGGTTAGGTCGATTAGGATCTGCTGGTCTCCATGCCTTGCTGTATGAAGGCCCACTAAAAACGAAAAAAAACTAATAAATCATCACCAAACGAAATCAAGTTATGCATGTATTTTTGCATTCTTTTCTCGCTTTTCGAGTATAATAAACATGACATTTACGTTTTAAGATAGTAAAGGTTGCCTAAGCAACATTCACAGTTGGGTAACACTTCTCCGCGCATAACTCGAGATAGCGAATGAAAAGTAACCGTCTAATTTGCTGTAAAGATGTTATAAATGTTCACGTATGCATCCGCAGCAACCAATGAAGTACCCGTACCACAACAATGTCTTTTTTTTATGTTGACGGTAGCACATATCACACACATAGTTAGTTACTTGTAGTGGATAGACACCACTCACCATTGTTGACTGCTCTTAAACGTAACCATGCCGGAACTCCGTGGCCAAGTCCGAGGTTTTCTACAGCCACAAATGGTTCATCCCTTGTGACGTATGTCTGCAGTTTGTATCCGCGGACTGTGACGTCATGCTTTGTCTTGCCAAGTCCAAAGTCCACCCGCGCCAGATGGGAAAGTGGGTCAGAAGCGTTGAAATAAACCGCGAGCAGGTCAAAATCTTCGTCATAGAATATATCAAGGACTTCGGTAAAGATCGGCGGTGTCGTATCAACCGTGAATGGCGTGCTATGGCAAACTGTTGTAACGAACGCGCCACCGAACACAACGTTATTGAGAGCTCTGACTGTGACGAAATATTGACCATCCTTGAGGTGTAGGTCTTTCTCGTAACCATTATGTGTCCAGTATTTTTTACTTGAGAGATGTTGATGGGGATCAGACTCCTCTATAATATCCCGGGTACATACTGACTCTCCCACCATCCAGGTATATCCCCAAATACCACTCTCGTCATCATGGAAACCGTCAAAGTTAACTATAATTACAAGAATCAGAAAACATTATCGAAATTTTAATTGAAAATGATTGCAGTGCCTTAAATCATCACACAATTAACCAAGACAAGGTTGTAATTATACGCGCTGGCTTAAATATTGTTCTAAACATATGTACAGAAGGCTCAGAAATCGAAATCAGGTTACATTTAAATACTTTACCTGAAGCCATGTGATTATTTATGGTGTATATTTCGTCCTGGAGAGGTTTGTAACCGTTGAATACAGTTCTTGATTCCTTGTCATCAATTACTATCCTAAAATACAATATAAGACCTTTGATATCAAATGCTATTATTTCAAAGGCAGACAACACATACTACCACCTATCGCATAGTTTAATGACAGTTTGATTAAATAAAACGACATGTGGTTATATTTTAACTTACTTATGATTTTCTTTCCATGTGACTTCGATACATCTCTGGGTAACGGCTGCGGAACATCGACTCGCCTGCATGGTCACCTGGGCGGCTGTTCCCAAAGGACCTGTAAACGGCGGCGTGAAATCCATAGTTGTGCCTAGTGATGTTATATACGCGGTGTACCCAATTGTATTGGTTATTTTAGCATTAATGTAATACACAATGGCGTGGCACAGATTTAAATTGTCGTAGAGTACGTACGAGCTATGTCCGACTCCTAGCCTTTCGTAGTTCTTGTAGGTCCCGCTCTGACGCAGCGAGGCGCGCGGACCTTCTACAACCTCGTGCATGTCGCATGTTTCGGAATGGTATTCATAGTCAAACGAAACACACTTTGTGGGATGATCCAAGCAGAGTCTGGCGCATTCTATCGCAGTGCGCGTTTTAGCGGTTTTGAAGTTGAGCGCCGTTAGTTTTCCAATTCGAGGTACACTGAAATATTTAAGGTCGTTGTCGACTCCATCCCTAATAGATGTCTTATCAATATCGAGAGAGCCCCAATGTACCAATTCGCTGCCATACTTACCAGAACTAAACCCAATGGCTTTTTCATGTGATTTTTCCAATGTACTGTCATCAAATACAACTACCGTACCACTGAGCTTGTTAGGGTGACTGGAAAACTTGTACGACGGGTCAATTCTACCGTCAGGAATAGAGGTATCATAAGTTGGAAGCGTGCAGTAAGAAAATGCTTGCAAGCCTTGTGTATTGCTAGCCTTTACGGTCCAGTAAAGTGGTACACCACTCGGCAAGTCGTTAGTAGGGACTAGGAGAGACGCACCACCCATATCTGTCCAGTCAACGACATTTGTACCACCGTGTTGTGTACCAATTGCATAAACTAGTTTTACTTGACTCGTTTCATCCAAAGTTGACACTTCTAGTTTAAATGCAGCATCAAGAGGACTTCGAAATTTAACCTGTTCTACCAAGCATCCTTTGGGACTGCTGCGTTTTCTCCGAGAGCTAACAGAATTTGGAGGGAACTCGGGGGGAGACGAATCTGAGCTTATCATTGGAGTAGTAAATATGTTACGCTTTATTGTTGGTGTTGTGTACGACCACAAACTTGCATCAAATACAGTGACTGTCACAAATAAAAGATTCAGCTCGGCAAAGCCTCGAAGGTCCAGTTTTAACGGTACAAGAATCAGGTCCATCTTCGCTCTGTTGTAAATAAATAAAGACAACCTCAAACCAAATGCATTGTTGTCAAATATAGCATTATGCACTGAGCAGTAGAATCAATCTATAATGTAACATATCGCAGATGCTTTTGATTTATATACTCTGACCAATTCTTTTGAACACATATGATATATTTTGAAAATATATGATTGATAGCCACCTATATGTAATATGCATTATATATTCGCGAATCGTTATGATAGGTCTGCCATTTTTTGTCATTACAATTGATTAGCCATTAGATACTAAATTATTTCAATATTTCGATATGGTTAAAACGTACGTGACATCCAGTGGAAATTTACTGAATCCTATACTTCCCATGATAGGGAATTTTGTTTCCAATAAATAACCAATAAGCTTGATTCCTCCTCTCGCAAAACCTAAGTCTAATGCTGCAATCCCCCAAACACTGCCTCCGGCCCCGGGCGTGACAATCACCTAGAGCAGCAAATTTATCACCGAATATTTTTCTCTCTCACTTTTTCATATCCATACCGGATGGAACACTATTTAAAGCATAATATTGTTTCATGTTTTATTGTGTTTAGGATGTAAGTATAGTAATAAACTAGGACACATTCAGTGAACCTGTTAATATATTGGAAAAAAAAAAAAAAAATCTAAAAATTCGAGACACAGCTAATTTATTTATTTAGCTGAACAAAGAAATTGCCTATGAATACACTTTTTTTGTTTGAAAATTAAGATAACTATTTATATTAAAAATACATGAATCACAAAATACCGTTAACATAAACAAGGGAAAAAAATATAACACATTTGACTTACCTTTGCGATCATGCTTAGGAAACACACTCCTAAGTTAACATCCAGACTGAGTGATCCTCCGGCACCGAAAGCTGTGTTAGTATGAAATGAAGTATAATGTTAGAAGATATTGGCAAAATGTCTAACCTCAATGATGAAATGGACCGTTTCTATGGTGTCAAAATCGCTAATACTTATATATATATAGAATACAGAGTGAAACATCGAAAAGCATTTGCGAATTATTGCAGAACAGGATTGTTCAAATAATAAAAATATTAAAGGAAAAACTAAGATGTTGAAGGGTCATAGAGTCTATTCTAAAAAAATGTGTGTACTTTCCATAGCACTACCAACACATGTTTTGTTGATTCACGAATATGCACAGTTTTTCCGGTATTTGTAGTACAACCCTAAAACATTTCTTCGATATAATTTATTAAAAGAGACAGACAACATTTTTAAAGACTCTTTTAAGGATATATGTTATAGCCTGGAAAGTGATATTGCGGAAATATCTGAAATTTAAATATCAATTTACCTAAACTTAGAGGAACTGGTCCCACAAAGAATCTGAACGACACCTCGAAAAAAATAATATCCAGCGGTTCTATCGGAATGTCAACATCTACACAAAAATCAATTTTATCTTGAAATTCTTCTCCCCGGAGCTGTAGAAGACTTTTTGGGTTCTTGAAAAGCTATAACAATATAAAAAGTCAATGTGCTGTTTAAAAAAGAATATAATTTATCAATTTTTCACTAAAAGAAATATTCTTAAAGAATCTTTATCCTTTGCATTGCAAAACACAAAAACACAGTCAATGTGCTGTTTTCTATAAATCGGTAAGATTATTGAGTATTCAGCATCCATACATAATTATTAAGATTGCATAAAATAACATATATCAATATAATAATTAATCGCATTTGAAATCAGTTTCTCTCTATATAATGACATCAATTTCGTTTAAGCACAAACGTGCTCCAATATTACACGAATTCATCAAATATTTAAACTTACTTCAGAAACAACTGCGTCCCGAATTTTTCCGATAAGTTCCATGTCAACAAGATCCATGACGTCATTTTGAGATATTGCTAGTATCATTTCTCCAAGCGTCATTTTCTCTATTTCAACATCAGGACCATCCATTCCTCCACCAATGATAAAGTCTAAATTTTAAACATACGAAGGTATAAATGTGATTATCATAGATGAATGACTCAATCACATAATAAATAATTTGCTTATGGTATCATTTATAAGGTCATAGCAAAAGGTTAGCAAATGCGCGTTAGCACATCATGGAGAATATGTTTGAACGGGACTGTGTTGCATACCCTCATAAATGTTAAAAAGATGCATTTCAAACCTTATATTTACATTCTATTGCATCCACTTTTATTATTTGAAATTAAGAAAAGAAAAAAAATCACGTTAAAAAGCAAAACACCGTCATGAAAACAACATTAATTGAACAGCCTTTTTCGCGGGAAAGATGATGCGTTGTCAACGGTGACGAAATACACAGTTGAGCAATAAACAAATAGTTCCACTTTGCATATTTTTTAATAATTTAATTTACATTACCAGCATGTTTAACAGGCATTAATTATCTTAAAAATTGACAGTAGATCTAAATTTAAAATAAAAATACCATGTAAAATATTTTAGTTGCAAAACGTCAGAAATTTATTCCGTGTTCGCGGAGAAAGCTGACCGTTTAAAAAACGGTTGTGCAGCGGCTACGCCAATTAGGCAACGAAGCGGTTCCACTTTCAAAGAGATAAACAGTGCATCCGTGAAATGTAGAGTTTCCTTAGAAACCAGAAGCGATTTAAAATATGCTGTTGGCTGAATTATTGTGTCGATCGACTGTGTCAACAGGACTAGCTCATCGTTTGAGCATTCGGCATGCATTACTATCGATGAGGGGACTGGCCGACGCTCCGGAACGATTTCACCTGCTTTGCCACTTGCAACGGGACGCTAGTGTAGATTCTGTTGAAAAGGACCTGTTATAGGATCTTATAGCAAACTCGCTTCGGTGGCCCGCAATAAGGATGATGTGCCTTGATTCAAATCCACAGTTATTCCATATTCTAGGGACACGTCCACGACGTCGCTGTCAGACATAGCCTATTGGCTGGAGCACAGGGGTTCATTACAAATGTCTGAGGCTGGAGTTTGCACACTACACATTTTAGACGCTGAATACGCGGACTTAAATTTCGGGGTGATTTCTTGTTGATAATATAAAAAAAAGGATAATTACATGTATTTTAACCTTTGATAAACAATCTTGTTTTGTTTTTGGTTTGTTTGTGTTTGTTTGTGTTTGTGTGTGTTGGGGGTCAGAGGTCATGCAACGGTACATGCAGTACTGTTAATATTACTACACACTTGCTTTTATTGAATCATGCAAACATTTTAGTTGGCACTGTTATCTAGTGGCACTGCAACACAAATGTAAATATATGTAAAATAATGCTCATTTTTTTAATAAATTTGTATATAACATTCTAAAATTCAAAACAGCTCCGCTAACCGTCGCAAGTGTTGGGAGGATTGGAGATCCACGCAGTAAACACAAATTTGATTATTTAATCAAACAAGTTATTCATTAGATTTCAACAGATCAAAACCGTAGTAAAATAAGACAGTATGTGCAAGATGTCAAATAGTACTTAGACAAAAGTAACACAAACGATTTATCAAAAAGGGTTGATTTTAAACCATCAATTGTTTTGTCAGTAATGAAATAAGAGGAGAAATTAAAAAATACAGGATGAAATTTGCTTTTTATTTGAGAATATTACATTCGTATCCTTCGGGATTTGGATAGTACATGAATAGAGTTAGCTCTACCCAAGAATAAATGCTGAAATATACATATATAAAGACGGTAATCATACCATTACAGATGTCGACTTGTGGAAATGTCATGTCAGTGGTGACCTTGATTGGCACAATACAGGAGAGATATTCGTCATGGCAAAGCGTTGCTTCTACGCTGAGGACAACGACGTTGTCTATTATGTCACCGTTGATTATCAGTCCAGCACTCAGACCTCCCAGCGTAAACAACGGGATGTGATTATCATGGCCTAAAAGAAAGAAAATCTACAGTCAAACTGTTATACCAATAGTTATTGTGGAACAGAATTACTTGTGAATTGATACACGACATCGCAGACTATAAATATTTTGCATGGATGTTTTCATTTTATTTTGCAAGGATAAACTATTTTGCGTAATTGCCGAATAACGTAGAGTTACATATTGACATCTTACCATCGAGAGTAATGATGGTCTTGATTGTTGATAAAGCTATCTGGAGTAATCCATCACAGGGGTTTACACTGATATCTACAGATACCGTCTTGTCAAGTGAACCGTACGGAAGTATCAGTTCACATGATAAACCCAGACAGTCAGCATGGGCTTGGCAAACATGTCCTAATCCTTTGTTAAGACCATCGCGAAATGTTGGACAACCTGTAGATTACATTGATATCAACATAAGCATGAGTTATACTTTTCAAACTGTTAATACATTTAATCAGATAAGTGCTATAAAAGTACTGTAGTATTATGCCGAACCACCATACACAATTGTAATGACATTATTTGTAAATATGCATATATTATTGTTACTCTGCTATATTAAAATATTTCAAAATTAAATTTATTAGAAATATTTCATTCAGATAACTTTTTAGCGTTTTAATAAACTAATATTGATTATGTGATGTTAACGAGAAATAAATCAAATGTATGCATATATGTGTATGTTTGTTCTCAGTAGAACTCTGACAGTTAATTAGACTTAATTCCAATTATCTTGAAATATGTAGAATGTTACAGAAAAGAAAAAAAGAAAGATTATGACCAGAATTGAAATGAAAAAACCAATTTGTTGCTAAAATACATTGTTATGAAATGAAGAAAGACCGAAACACGACTTTATGAAATGCATTCAAGGTAGTATTGCTCGGGATACGAATGGTCGGCATCATATCAATAAGAATACGTACTATTTTCTGCCAAGGAGAACAGTTTTGAAATCATAGAGTACTTGTCGCCTAGCCCTTTCGCAGCACCCCCGAGGACATTCCGAAGTTGTATTATAGAGAGTGATCCGGCTGGAAGAGATGGCATTTTTTTCACTGTTCCAGCAAGTTTCTGTACGATGTTTTTAAAATCCGTAGCCAGTCCAGGACTCAGAATATCTGTTACTTCAGACACAGTAAATTGTTTGAGATCTACTATATCAAGGATGTTAGGTATTTTCATACTGAAATTAAAAAATGACATTGAAAATTAGGTAAAGAAAAAAGTGTCCTATCATAAACTCTTGTTAGTTATGCCATTACAACATTGTGTAGTTAGGCCATTGCAAATAATGAGATTTTTGTTTTATCTCCAAGCGTGTATTTTTGCATAGTGTTGGCATATACATTCGTAAAATGTTTTCAAGTTTTAAACTATTATGCTAAGTCAGCAAAGAGATGTCGATGCTCTTATCGGTTGCTTGCTAATTTTGGTTTTCTAAACACTTACCTCTCTCCAGAAAACATATTTTTCAGATCTGAAAAAGAAGATAATGAGTCTTGCATTCCGCTCAGAAAATTGCTACCAACGTTTTGTGACGAGCCGGAGTCAAAATTGTTAGGTTTGTATTCCGGTTCATTGGTTGCGTCCATCTGGTTGATGTCATTATCTTTAATAGTGCTGTCAACTTCTTCAACTTCTTCCTGCGCACCCTCATCATCCAAAGCTCCGACTTCAATTACATTGTTCATTATAATCAAGGTCATTTCATTGCATTCCTCTATCCACTGCGGGATTGGCACTAGTCTATCAAGATATGGTGAGGGGTCCACATAATTATAATCTTCGTCAGGTAGGTTCATGGATGCAGTTCTCTGTCTCATAGCTACATGAATAAAATTAGGTGAGCATTTGGATCTTCTTGCTTTCCCTATCTTTTCACCAGCTTCAAAAAATGTTCCCGAATTGGAGACAAATCTGTCTGCTTCTACGTTGTCGATAACTATTTCAAATTGAAGAAAGTCGGCTTCAGAAGGTTTTACGAGGAGTTGTGAGGATGCTTTTCTGTACACCATTCCATTCACAGGACACCGAACCTTTGATGTAAATGACAATTATAAGATTTCAGTTATAATGACATGATATCATTTCGAACCAAAAGAAACACAAGTTAAGATTTTTCTTTCTTTTACGATGATGAAATAACAATTCAAGTATTGATTAAGAAATGAAGAATATGCTAACACTTGATCCTTTGTTGAGATGGACGTCAACTCCCGTAGTTTTGTACATCCCTGCAGTCGTCGTAGGCCAAACTCCTTGACCACATTGCGCATTCTCTTCACGACGCCGTGTTGGAAACTTGATATTAAACTTAGGACCGAATATCTTTTGTATCATTGACTTCACTTTTATGATCCTGCAAATAGAACGTGTAAGAACAATATAAAATATAAAAACTATCGTCAAGATTTTGTGACAAAATTTACAACCAAAGTCGTTACACTTTCATGTAAAAGAAAATAAATTGGAAGCAGGTTCTCAATAATGGAAAACGTTTTCTGTATTGCATGTGAATCGTAGGCCAGCAACAAGACAATTGATTAACAGTTTGCTCTAAATATTATTCTTGCATTGGTCAGGAAACGTTATTGATATGATTATGATAAGACTGAACTTTGCTGTTCAGAACTTACAGAACTGAAGTTCAGAGAGTGAAGAAAGCAGTAAAACATAAAGCATACAGCTGGACTTAAATATCAATATTAGCAATGAATATTATGACAAATAGTGTAAAGTTCCTATAAAACGCAGTGCAATTGCTGTCTAGCTTAATAGTTTACGCTTTGCTAAGTTTTACAATTTAACTAAAGCAAGCATACAGAGTTTTATAGGAAACGTTGTCAGCAATAGCGTTTGGTGTTGAACTACTGCCAAGCATTCATTGTTTAATAGAAGGAATTCATTCAGGATCGCGATTCATATTTCTGATATTTCTCATGGTTTAAAATCTAACTGTAACCTAATTGCATTCAGGCATGTTCTTTAAAGATGTACAGAAATAAATTGTATGCAACTTGGTTCCATAACATTAGATAATGCATATGTATCCCTACTTTAAACACGTATTTGTTTCTTCCTGTAGGGTTTCAATTGGTTAACGGTGTCCTTCACATACACTTTTAAAGAAACCTATCTTGGAAACCATTTTTAGTCAAAATTTAGTTTGGTTTGATAACGTGATTGATCCAAGATTAAAGAAGCACACAAACAATTTTGATTAGAAAACATTCACATATAATGGTTCTTAGCGTTATGTCTTATTTACACCTTTTGTTTTCGGTTTGAATTTTTATATTTTACAACAAAAACTATGTATCAACAGAAAGTGTTTATCACCACAGCAGAGAATAAGGAATGAGACTCTGGCCTTCCCTTTATTTTTCTTATAATGACACTATCTGAATCAGCCTATGTCAAACTGGTACTGTATATGTAACACATGTAATGTAGTGTGAAAGATATTACTATCAAGAGATAAAAAAAATACCCAGTGAAAATACAGTGGTACATACATGTCTCGTAGAAATTCATACGTCGATTTGATCCCTTGGACAACATCCATGACTGAACGGAACGTGTCTATCACTGGCTTAGCAACTTCAAATATAGTGCCGAGAGGTCCAATAGCATCTTTTAAGTCTTCAATTAGTTCAGCTTTAATTTGAGCTGCCTGCTCTTCCTATTAATAATACAAAACGAGGTCTTATTTGACGTTAAAGTATTTCCATAATGACTGCTGCGTAAAAAAAGCCAAAAAAAACAAACTATTTATGATATCAATATATAATCAAAAGGCTAAAACCTGTAACTGGCCATATACAGTATATTGTTAATAATAAACAATATAGCGAACAATGCTTAATTTACAGTTCTATTTTTCCATAATGATTGTTGATAAGCAAGATGATACTCAGATAACTCAAACGCTTAAAGATGAAAACATACGATCAAAAGGCTAAAACCTAGTGCTTACCATGTGTTGTATACCATCAGACATCGCCATGGAAAGGTGATCCACATCGGAACCTGCTAGTTCGTCAGATCCAGGGCTAGACAGTCGATCTATCAGCTCCTTCATATCAGCCACTATTCCAATCACTTCATCACCTATTGTCATCCAATACGGTGTCTTCCCTGAAAACAATAATACACATTACAGTGTAAAATTATAATGTATAATTTGACTTGCATTAATCAAAGTCAATGGGAATTTTCTTATATTTAACATTACGAAAAGGATTACCTTTCAAGAAAAAGCAGGCGTCCAACACTTGGTTTTTGACATCTAAGAACATGGATATTGCCATTTTTGTTCTATTAAATAAATTGAAAAGCATGCATGAGTAGACAGAAACATGTGTTATTCTTATTGAATGCATATTAAAACTATTTCTTTATTCTAGATGGATTTAGGATTTAAAATGCACGTTAGAGATTTACATTGGATAAAAATAAAAATGCGTTGTAAAATATCACCAGCAATTCCGAAACTTATTTTTTAAATCTCGAACATCAAGCAATTATCCTAATGAATTGGAGATTGATCTGTGTTGAGATATTAGAAAATCAAAAGAAGCGTAAAACGTAAATTGAGTATTTACACGTCACAGGTCTTGTAAAAAAAGTCTAGCAGTTGTATTGTGATGTTTTCATTAAAATATCATCTTCTGCTTTTAGCTACTTACTTCATAAGTGCCTGACCTATTCCACTCATAGCCTGTGAGGGGTTGGAGAGTATAGATTTGACCGCGGAAATGAGCGTGGCAATAGCATCCATTAGCTGTTTCCCTACATATGGCAAGGTTACCGTCACTGCATCTACGACCGTCTGGTAGAGCGTATGTTGGAAAGTGAGATAAAATACAGATTGTTACAGAGACATAACTTTAATTAGAATCGATTTCGATAAATTAATCTGGTACATAGTTAAGAAATAAAATATTTCAAATCAATTCAACAGAGAGCACTTAATTTTTCCTGTGTTTTATGGGTGTATATTTGAACAAATTGTAGTTCTAACATTTGATTAAGATCATTTATTTAGAACGTATGGGACAGATGACAAAATAACTGACAACAGTAATGTTAAGTCGGTTTTAAAGTAAAACATTATATTTTATAACTCACTCGGTATAAATACTTTGATCGAATAAGAACAGTTTTGCTACATACGTTGTAGAACCCCATTATATCGTCCCTGACGTCTTCTATGAATGTTTTAACTCGCATTACGAGTCTCTTGATGTCGTCTAGCCAGGGCAGTCCTCCAAAGTCAGCTACCTTCAGCTTTAATGCTACAAACTTGTCAGCAGCCGCTTTGATCACCTGTGGTAGATTCTTTACTGCCGCCACGAGACTATTAAACAACTTCTGAATTCCACCGTCTTTAAACGTCTGTACCATATTCTTGAAGTTGTTAACAGCACGTTTGATTGGGTCTACGGTATTTTTCATGATGGTATCAAAAATATTGACCAAGTCCTGAACGTTGTTAATGCCAAAATCCTATGAAAGGGAAAAGAAAATACAAAGGTACTCCTAATGTTTATTAAAATTATTAATCGTTGTCGTATATGTGAAAATATGCTGGTATACACTATGATAGTGTATAAATATCAGATATTTGGGAACATATGACTAACTGTTACTTTTTCTAAGTACCTTCAGCACGTTTAGGTCGTATCCAATATGGCCGTTATAACATACTAGAGCCCTGAAGATGTCAATGTGTATGTTCAGAAGACCACAGTATGCCTCCACAAATGCTGTGTCATAAACATCGATGAGAAAATGGCCTTGGAGCGGCTCTGTAATCAAAACAATGCACACATATCATATATATAGGATCTTACATGAGTTTCCATTTCATATCAGATTTATGAAACTAGTATAAGAATTTTTACAATTTAGCGAACCTCTGGCGAGCAAAAATGAAAATTTCGTGACGAGTTTAATTAATTTCATATGGAATGAAATCGAATGTTAGATCCGTTTTATCACATAACAAGATTTGGGGCATTTATTGGTGTAAAACGACATTTTGTCTTCAGTGCGTAGGTCTGCGACGTCATATATGTGTCCTAGGCGTGACGTCGCAATTAAAACAATTGAAACTTACAACCAATCACAGGGCTGATAGGTCATATTGCATTGATTAATACGCAAAACAATATAACAGTTTATATTCACTAGAAAACACAGTACATTACTTGATAAATTAAATATACATATATCATTATAAACAACCCGATAAAACACGTATTAAAACGCAATAGATCTTGAAAAGACATACGCCTCAGTTACGTATTCACTTTGCGGTTTTATTAACTGAAAAAAGGTATTGTGCACGTCGTTTACTCTTACTGAAACTGTTTTATTTCATCAAAACGAAACGCATAAACATTAAGAAAAACCTCAACCATTTCCGAATACCTAGTCATTATTTTCTAATGTTTTCAATGTTCTGCGCCTTTTCCAACAAAAAGATACATCTGGAAGAGGTCAAATGAGTACACGGTTCAACCAACTGTCGCTTGTTAGGCTCGATCATTCCCGTGAGAGAAAAAAATAGAAACTGTCGAGGGAGCTAGTCATTTGGGATGTTTTAGTTTTTGGATTGATTGTAGACTAACTCTTCGGACAGAAAAATCATGATTAAAGCAAGGATATAAACAATATATTGCCTTACATTCAAATAAAGTATAAAGGCAGACGCAGTTTTATACTTAGTGTTCATGACTATATTACTTACGATGAAAAGAAAACATCAAAGAATTTTGCATTGTAATTTATGTAAATATGAGATTTTCAGCCTACTGAGCTCTAATTCCATCCTGTTTCTGATGTTGAGGCCAAATCCTGCACCGATGTCCGCTGATCCAATAGTTTTTTCCCAATGGATGCCAGGTATTGTTATGGTCAGGCGAAAACCGCCTGTCGTGTCAATGTCAATGACACCTCTCTTGAGCCTCATCAGAGCCGGGTAAGAGTAGTTTCTCCTGCAATGTTGTAAAGACATGTACAACCTGACTATAACAAGTTGAAGTAGTAGTTGAGTTGTAGTATCTCTTAACAATACATGATTGGTTCAAAATGTTATAACTACCTATTCAAATTCTCAAGACTCATCTATAACTTTGAGTATGATGTACATGACTGTTTTGTAATTTGATCGCAAAATATTGTCAAGTATTTGTAACAGTATTTGTATGGACAGACAAATACATGTTGATAATTCAACTTGCAACCAACGTCAAACGATGAATTTAAAGAAACAGACTTCTAAGTTTGGTTTGGTTATAGTTTGTGTTAATTTTATTAACAGATAAGGTCATTATAGAACGTGAAACAGACTTATATATGAAACTTACTTTCACGATATAAGTTCACAATAAACAGTCTTTATTTCTATAGAAAATATCAGTACATAATCAGACCTGTTTTTTAGACCACCTGTAATAGATTCACACATCTAAGCAAGAATAATAACAATTGTTATTTAATATGTTCGTATCTACGAATTGCTCTATGTAACGTAGCTTACGTTAAAACCATGTCGTAGTGTTCAGGAAGGAGAGTCTGTCCTTTGGGGTGGTAAGAAAAGGCCTTCAGTGAAATTTCTTTCACCAGGTCATGTTCGTCATACAAGGCTGCCTGTAAAAGGGCATTGGCACTCTGAAATTAAATATTAGATATTTGAAATACAGTTTCTCAAAGGTCAATAAATGTAGTTTGATATATTGTTTTAGTCAGAAATTCTTATTTGTTTAAATGGTACAGTTGACTTAATTTGGTTGACTGTTGTCATAAATATGCTGACCTGAAATTGATATCATAAATAGTGTGACAAGAAATTGTTGGCCGTAAGCATTATATCGATATATTATAGTGTGGCACTTGTTAATTATTATAAAATTTTATCGAGATATTACAATGTGTCACTAGTTAATTATCATAACATTATATCGAAATAATACAGTGTGTCACTAGTTAATGAGTATAACATTGTATCGAAATATTACAGTGTATCACTAGTTAATTATTATAACATTATATCGAGATATAACAGTATGTCACTTGTTAGTTATAATATTCTGTTACTTTGTTACACGTGTAGTGACGCAGACTGAGGATGGCTGCACGTCTCCAGGTAGAGGTTCCCTTGTTTGGTTGTAGATATGAGAGTATATGATCTAAAGACCTTTCCATTCCGGAATTTCCCAGCGTATTGATGAAGACCAATTTGGTAACGATGTGATTCAGCCTTGGATGGTCGACATCTGTTACAGATCGTTTTCTTCTTTGGCGAAGAATTGGTGCTGATTTAGCTGAAAACACGTCAAATGTTTATTTGATCATGCTTTCATTGTTAATTCTATTTTAACAGTATGTAAAATCAGTTTAAATAATTGTTCCCTCTCAATTTATAAATTTTAGATGACTTACTTTCGTTATGTAGTCCAAGCCATGTTTCCATCTTTGCAACGATCCTGTCTCTCCCATGTGGATCCGTCTCATTTACGACTTTAGCTAGGGACCCCAACGTTAAACACGCCCTTCTCTGTGTCTTTGTCAGAACATCAATGCCTACAATTCCAATAGTTTCAACAAAGTGCACCAAGGACATATATATAGCATATGCTTGACACTTGATTTTCCATATTTTTGCGTGCTCAAATACATTTTGAAATATCCTATTTTTGATAAACATGTTTTTTGATTAAACACTTACAACAGAAAAAAACTCGACAACTTAGAAATAATACATACCGTGTAACTCATTGTCTTTTCCAAAACAAAGATGTTCTATCTTCAACATCAGTTCCTGAAATGTACATTGTTATTTGTTCTTATTTGCATTGGTAGCATTGACAAACAAACCGTCACCACTGAATTATCAATGCATAAACTACACACAGACAACAATTAATTATGATATCAATTATAACTTACAGGTATTGGTTTCTCCAAGATGATGAAATGGAAGAGAATTCTGAAAGCCTCCTTCTCGTTGGCATCTTCATTAAGAGATAAATAATGCAGCAACAATCTCTGTGAAAATGGGTCTCCTTTCCTGCCTATGATATCTATAAACATAGATCGCTGATCAGCACACGTGGTATCGTTGACAGCACAGACCACGCCCAAGGCACGCGTAGCTAGTACCTGGTAGTCTTCTTCCTGTAGAGCCATGATGATTGACCGAAGGTGACGCACACATGCCGTTCGGTTTGCAGCATCTATTCAAATAAAACATACTGAAAAGTCTACTTCGTTTTGGTACACCGTTACACGGAGCAGTGTTAGTGCACTCATACTTACTGTTAAATGAAATAAACCCAATATTATTGTTAAGTAGACAACAAATGTTAATACTTATACAACGATGTGTATATGAATCACAAAGTTTAATACATACCTAATATATATTTCCTTAAGAGGCACTTGATTTGAACATAGTTATGCTAAAATAGTGTATGACAGGAGTCTAGGGTTTCAATAAAGGACGCGGGACTGATGAAGGGGCATATGATACAGGATAAGATTATAACCTCAGTGTAGAATTAGCTTTATGTTCATGGAGTTACTCACGTTTACTGGCATAGGTTCGAATACATGTCAGGGTTGACTCCATTTCTTCATTTACTTCTTGAAGTGTTGTTCTATTCAGTTTCTGCAACATCAGTGTCATTGTTATAATTATATATTAACTATGTGTTGTTTAAATATTCTCATTAAACTGAAGTTTGCTATGTATAAGACGTTTCAATATTTGTTTAAGACGCTTCTTCAAGTGGAACTGTTCAAAATGAAATTCATTATGTGTTTTGAGTATAATTGATGACGTCTGTTATGTAGTAATTTATTAAGATTTCAAATTGAAATTCAACTTACCTCACTCTGCAGTACCAATGTCATTTATACCGAGCGGCACAAGTTCCGTAGAGAGGACAGAAAAAATAGAGAAATATGTATAGAGTTATCGTTCTTAATCATCATATTAAGTTGAATTATAACAATCATATACCGCTGCGTTAGCAAACAACAGCAATAACTTAACTCAAAGTAGATATGAATTAACAATGATAAGAACTGAGGTGACATTGGAAGAAAGGAAAATACATCCTGAACAGGAGGCTCCAGAATGTAATGCAAACTCCGTGAGCAGGTGCAACATGTACTATACTAGTTGAGAAGGAACTCATAGCCGCCCTGTTTGCTATTCGATTTGTAATATGGTGAAGATCTTATAAATATAATCAATGAATTGTATGTGGTACAGTATTAAATATAAGCTCTACGCTTATTTTCAAATCCCCTGAAACTAGATGCATGTGATAACTTTTGCCTGATTACTGAAAAAAATGGTTAGATACATGCTTATTTTTCTTAAATAGATGATAACTAATTCAGCTTAAGAAGAAAACCAGAACAGATCGGAAAACGTAGTCACATAATTTCTATTTGTGTGATGTGTCAGTAATCTGACTCTGTACTTACGGGGGTTATAAGAAGGCTGCCGTTGATCAACCGATCAAAACGTGGTGTACCATCTAATTCCGCAGCATGTGGGCTGTGAGTGAGCAAAGTTCATTTTATTTTATGACCAAATGTTGCCCAGGCATCGCATAGTTATATCATATTCATACGTTGAAATAACATAATATTATGACATCACAATAGTGATGGCGATATTTCAGATGGCAGGGTAGTCCCCGGAAAAATACATTTATTCATTTATTTATCTATTTATTTTAATTTCACAAAAGTTATTGATCATGGTATGAAAATAGTTTTTTTGTGAAATATTTTAAACATGTAACTATTTTGGTTATGTTAAATCCCCAGAGGTTTGCAAATGATGTAAAAAAAAATCCAAGATATATTAATTCAACAAATTTATATGAAGTCGAAGTTGGAACAAAGAGATACACATTTCTTTAATATACCAAAATTGCCAACAACAAACATCAGATGTCAATAGCGTAAAATTTACCTTTTCTGCGTGAGTCTTAATTTGGAAACGGCATTTGAGGAAATTCGTGGAAACTCTGAGAAGGAGAACAGATCATTCTGCATGTTGAATTTTAATTTCAATATTTAAATATTTCAGTCTTTATTCTCAAAACATAAAGATATAACGATTTCTTCTTAAATTTATTTGACAACTGAATATATAAGCAGTTACATATGGTATAAAAAGGTTAATATGGTTACCTTCAGATGGTACAAGATATCAAGTTAACATCGTTTCTTTAACATTATATAAGATATCAAGATAAATATAGTTACCTCCAGATGATATAAGATATCAAGTTAAATATAGTTACCTCCAGATGACCAATCCTGTATCGGGGCGGCATTCACTGCATTTGTGCTTAAATACAAGGGAGATTTGGTGGTTGCAAATTAAGTATAAGAGTGAAAAAGTATCATTTTTATATAAAATATTATAACGGATGCGGCTAAATTGATATAAACAATTTCTCTGAAGGCCCAATCTGGGCGACTAGCTTTACATGTGAAAATAGTTGCAATACAATTTACAGGAGTTGATAACTCTTTTAACTGTCTGTAATGGTCATTATATATATGCACAGTGCCGGTTGAACACCATATGTGTACAGTGTACCGTTATTGTTCTTTTGTAATTCATAATAGGACATTGCGTTGTGGTCGACCTTATTGAATATCACTGACACGATTAAACACCAGCTAGACACGAGACGACCCGTAAAGAGCTGCTGTTAAGGCATAGGCTTACCTAATATTCCTTGTATCCGATTGGCGGAGTCTGATCGTGTCATCTGCCAGTACATACTTCACCGTTCCGTGTCTGCTATAATGCATGGTCTGAGTTGATAACGAAAAGTCCCAATATTTTACAAAAAGAAATATAAAATAAAAATTATAATGGCATGGCTTTATTTGGAATGGACACTAGAAACAAATACAATATTGCTGAGGTCTGTTAGATTTGACAAGATGTTTTTATTAATATTTTCAATCAGTGAAATCCGACAGGTTGACAATAACAATAAGTCTGATATATTCCTATTAGTTGAAAAAAAAAATGTCCAATCAGGCAATAGGTTTAAGTGCAAACGTAACAATCAATAGACGTTTCGTATGGTGACGTGGCAGTGAAATATACCTACTGTCATTATTTTTGATATTGTCGACTCTCTAGCCAGGGGTAACCTTTTACCAAGAGGAATGTAATAAACACACATGGGTTAAATACCCACTTCACGTCAGTATTACTTCAATATATACACGACGTCAAACTATGATATTGATGATTTTTGAATTAGGTTCCATTTCGTATCAGAGTTCTTACACAAATCCGTATTTTTTACCTGACAAAGTATTTTTATAATGAAAACTACTAGACTTGTTTAGTCAATACCAAATGACATACAATCTCATTTATGACTTCAAATTGTTTTGAACATTTCATTAGTTGAACACAATATATTAGTTGCACCATTTCCACATGAATCAAAGATCATTATTTTGCCATCTGATAAATCACTCGGCTGACTTACCTACCAGACACAGTTTTTTCCTTACCTTACTGTGATTTCTGTGAACACTGTCAGTACTATTGTGAGATCGCCTCAACACGATTCCCCAAGATCCACGTGAAACGCTGTATTCGTGATCAAGATCACCGGTATGGTCAACTTCCCGGTTAACAAACACACGTGGATGAGTCTCGTGAATCTGTGGACATTAAAAACATATTTTATAGTAAGTAAATAGTAAAATGTCTAAAATATGAAAATAAACTGTAGGTTGGCATTCTTAGGGGATTTACATGAAACGTATTTTGTATTACCCTCTAGCTGAAATAATATTGAAAAACAGGAACGATTTTAACATCAATAAATTATTGTCATCTAAATTCCGAAGTGCCTGTTTTAATCAGAATTACATTATTTCAGTATCAATCGGTTGAATTTGTAATGGTGCCATTGTATTTAATTATGCTAAATAAATTTCAAGCTTCATATTTTGCCATGCATTTTCAAAAACAGGAAGAAGATAAATATATAAACTATTATTTAGTATACAGACAGACACAAATCTATGTACATATTGTTTGACGTACGTTAGCCTTAGCTGACAGAGTACTTGTTAGTACTTTTTTCAGAGCTATAACTTCCTCGTCATCAGCGTGGTCGTAATGCACCATGGCAACGGTGCCGTCATTATTCAACCGGAAATAAAACCTGTAAACAAGTTCAATCAGAAAATGATATCACAAAAGCGTATCAACAGTTGTATGTATCTAATGAGAGGGAGCAAAAGAGAGGTGAATACAAATAGTGGAATATGAATTCGAACCGTGGACCCCATCCCTTGCAAGTTCAAGATAAATAAGATAACCAGCGATTCAGGGATTCCAGATTCCAGACCAAGACTCGAATTTCAGAATATCCAACGTAAGCAGACGGGTGCTCTTCCGCTGAAGCTTTTAGGCCAGTGGCGATCAGTATCAATTTAATCTATCAATGGAAACTTTAGACACACTGTCATTGTATGTCCTGTTTCAATCAGAACAAGTTGATTTTGTTTGAATCAAAGAAGGTCGTTTTTGAAAATGTATACATACTAGTATTATTTATATAGTAAGCCTCAAAGTTATCGAAAATTGCAACAATCAAAAAGTGAAAAAAGATGCAACAATTTTCATTTACCTTTTTGATAAATCCCACTGCTGAGGATTTTCCGCAACTGAAAAACAATTGTGTTGAGTACGCAAAAATTAAAAATAATTTAGTGAAAGATAATGATCTGTGTTTATCTGATATTCAATGACAAGACTCATACAATACGTATGTTACAGGATTCCGTTCATACCGGCAAACATGGAAAAGATATTTTTACACCCTATGATTTTTATAGTTATATATCTTGTGTGGGATAAGTCAGTTGTTACATGTTTTTGCTAATAGAGCGTTAATAACTTAAAAAATAATGTGAAATTGTCCGTATTTGGATTGAAAGTTCAATTTGTCTCACAATTTTAGAAAGCAGTGTTACCAAGTTAACGTCACTCATGACGGAACTAGAAATCCATATACAGTTTATATATTCTGTCCATTACAACAGTAAGCTTAAATATCCGGAGAATGATTAGAAACCATAATGTGACACAGCAGGGTAGTTTAATGTTAAACAACTTTGCATTGATGTGGTTATTACAGCTTAAATATCTTTAAAACACAGAGCCTACCAAAGTGTCAACAGAATCAACATTGAACTCAAAACAGATAAAATATGACGCAAAATGTGAACACAGGTAGGACTTAAATGGCGACTCATGAAAAGCACAGGTATATCTGAAACAATAGTTGGCCTTTGCTTTATCCACGACACAATCAGAGTGTAAGTTTAGGTCAAAACCAAGTTATGCCGTGTCCTCATACAACGAACTTGGGTAGTGACAACAGACCCACAATGAGCATTATCAGCACCATAGATATTCATACACATACATAATATATACCCGATAACATTATGACGGCGAGCCCAAAACCTGCCGTTCGTCTTCATCAAACTCTACGGAAGTATGCAGTATTGTACTTTCAGAATCTACATCATCATGCATTTTATAACAAAATCTCACTGAGTTTAAGCCATATCTCTCTACTTGAAATGTGGGGTGTTTTTGGTATACTATTTCAATGAATACCTAGGTTTTTGAAAACAAAATATCTCAGCCAGAACAATAAACACACTGTTTTATATCAAAGGTAAACATATCGTAAGTAGCCGTCGAAGGCTTATATCTGTCGTGATATGATAGCACGTGGTTGATTTTATACAATAAAAATAAATATACCTATTTAGGTGTTTACACCACATGTAGAACTACAAGTAAAAGCCTAAATAATGACGTACATACAACAAATGTAGTTATACAATGATGCATCACCTTGTGCAGTTGTCATCGCATAGAGATTGGAGTTAGATGTTGCTCAAAGAGAAATGTCCTTTCATATTTACACTTCACATTTTAACTAGCAATATGAAATCCATAACAAAGATGCATGAATTTTGGCTAAATATACAGAAAGTCAGCGAAAACTCATATATTAATATTTATTAATATCATTGCAAAACAACCTTTCAATAATGATGTTTTCTAAAAATACGAATAAAACTGTTTACAGAGGTTGAGTAGCGGTTCCTCTATATTTGACGTCGTCCAATGATTATCATTTGTAAGACATATTTTTTTCAAAGCATTTCCTTTTTGATTCTGCAGAACAAATTCATCATTTTTCAATTCACATTTATTAAAAAAAGAAGAAGTAGATTTAAGTTATTTTTTAGTGCGATATCTTTAATTTAGAAATGGTATTATAATTTGCTTTATCGAAATTATAACATTGAATCGAAATACACCAGACTACAATTATTGTAGACAATGTTCCCGTACTGTAAACAACAATTTCAGACTTTGTTGATAAGATGAAAACACGTTAACAATGCTATTTATCCGTGATACTGAATCATTTCAAAGGACGTGAATAATATTAAGTTAGACTTACTATAACCGTCTTCTGAGTGCTGAACAAAACTATCCAACATCAATGAATTCATGTTTTCAGAATTATTCACGGGTCGAATGCGGAACTTGTTAAAAAAAAGTAAAATCATTTATTTACACAGCATTTAAAAACAGATTTTATTAGAACATATTGACAGGCAACATGACATGACCTGAAAAGAAAAACGATTCAAATATAGGAAAAGTTTTATAAAAGCCTAATTGTGTTTGGTGGGATGAACAATGTACGCGCCTAACATCATTTTCAAAGTAATGATATTTTACATAAGGTAAATTGTACAGAAAAAAAAAATCCTAGTGGCTTCCTGTCGAATAAATTCATAATGATAATCAAACACACCGGGAATCTAATATTGACAAATCTTTGCATGAAAACATTCATTGGCTAGCAATAATAAGAATGACAAAAGGAACATACATGGACATGCATTATAAATTTCTTTTCATTGGAAATCGGCCAATTTCTCTATATATCATACAATTTGAAATACTTTATCCAGCTAAGTTTCCATTATAACAAAATACAATACCAAGGTAGGTGAAACTACATCTATTAATCTACAATTTCAAGTGCTGCGTCCTTAAGAGAAAGACAGGATTTTGGTGACTTTTTGTTGCATATACATGTTATACAATACTTAGCAATCCAATGCATTTTGTAATCCTTTGATAGTTTCCAAAAAAGGGTGTACCGTCGGCATATTGAAAGACAAAATTCAATAAAAAGATACAAATCGTTGAATATTTTGTCTTCTACCTATTTCTAAGGAAAGACATTCCAGCGACTTGTACGACTTTGTACGTACTTCAAGATTACATCTACCTTAAATGCCCTCGTGATATCATCTTTTTGAATAATTCCCATTTTACACGTTTTATTACTTTTACCCTTATTCTTATCTGATGTGATTTGAAAGAAATGCCAGTAAAATTTCGTACACAATGGATATGGTTGTAAACATCAGAACACATAGCGTTAAAATCACGGTTTTCGTATTCCGATTCAAGTTAATATACCTGGTATTATTAGGGTTCTTGTGTTTAAATCACCTGCCATGAATAAATTATTCAGTCCATGTTCAAAAGTAATCAACTCTTTTTTCTATTCAAGTTAAATCATTTTTAGATGAAAAAAAAGTATTTTCTGAGAAAAGATAGATACAGCCAAATGAAAACTTTTCATTCATATTTGAACATGATTGCAAATTTCAAACCCCATTACTAATTCGGAATCGGACCTTTGAAGGCACAATAACTACGACATAACCAGCTTATAACTTACAATAATACCGCCAGACTTGCTATTTTTAAGTTTTTAGATTTCTGTTTATATTTTGCGTGTTTTTAGTGATATCATTTTGCAAATTAAGTAATAACACGCAACAGTAAACCGTGTTCAGATATCAATTTATAGAAATCTGGATTGAGAAGCTAGGATTTCAGATTTAACACATTAAGAAACCTATAGAGTAGATAGACGGTACATGATTCACGGTACAGAGTAAATGGGAGGGAAAGAGGGCAGTAGGAAGAGGGTAGAGGGTACACGGTAAGGACATAAAGTGCGGGGTAAATGGTGGAGGTAGAGAATAGAGAGAAAACATAGATGGTAAAAGAGATCAAGGAAAGTGTAAGGGTAAAGAGTAGAGGAAAAGAGGTTGGGATTAAGGGTTAAAGATATGGAAAACGGGGTAGAATGTAGGGGGCATGGCGAACAGGGTAAAGCTACTAGGTTAACGTTAAATGGTAGGGGGTAGAAAATGTGGAGTTTGATCTTATCTAGAGGAGAGGAGTAGAGTTTAAAGGGTAGTGAGTATAGAGTAGGTGATAGGGGTAGGAACAAAAGGGTACAGAATAGAGATTTAAAAGTGCCAGATACATTGTAGAGGTAAAGGGTACATGGTATAATGTAGCGGAAAAAAATGAACAGGGTAGAGTATAAGAAAAAGAACAAGGGGAAGGAAGAGAGTTCGTGTGAAAGAAATGGAAAGAAGAAAATAAGTAGGGGCCCGGAAACAGGGTAGGGGTAAAATGTACAGGGTAGAGGAAATGAGTAAGAATAGAATTAAAATAGTCGAAAGATAATGAGGGGAAGGTAGAGCCTAGAGGTTAGGGGGGCCAAGAACAGGGTACAATGTTAAGAGAAGGAACAGGGTAGATGTAACTGGGAACATGATAGAGGGTTCGGGAAGAAACTAGATGGTAGAGTGCAGAGGCTATGGGCACCCGATACAAGGGAAATGGTACAAAATGAAGTAATAGGCACAAGACAGAGGATACAGAGTAGAAGACACAAGGTACAGGTTAGAGAGTAGGGGAAAAGGGGTTAAAGGATTTGGGTAGATGACACAGGGTAAATGATAGGGGGGGGGGAGGGTAGAAGGTAGATTGTAGAGGGTAGGGGGACTGGACACATGGCACATGTTACAGAGGATGTGGTAGAAAGTTCAGGGTAGAGGGAAGAAGATAAGGTTAAAGGAGGAGGGTAGATTGTAAAGGGTAAATAAACGAAGAGAAGAGGGAAGAGGATAGGAAGAAAATGGTACAGGGTAGATGTAGAAAGTACATGGAGCAGGGTACAGAGTTGAGCGTAGGGATAAATAATGGAGAGAGTAAGGGGTAAAAAGTAATAGGCTCAGTACAGAAGGAAAGGGTTAGCAGGTAGACGTAGGGCACAAAGTAGAGAATAGAAGGGCAGACGGAAATAAGAAGGGCATAGAATGGTACAGAGTAGAGAGAGGGGGGACAGAGAGTAGAAGGTAGACCATGGGATAGGAAAAAGAGGTTGCAATGCAAATGGTATTGGTAAAAGATAGAGGGTAAAGGGTGTAGGGTATATAAGGTTGAGGGTAGAGGTCATAGGATACAAGGTTGATGGTAGAGGTCATAGGATACAAGTTGGGGGTAAGAGGGTAGAGGTTAAAAGGTACATGGAAGGGGGAAAATTAGAGAGAAAGGTTTACATGATGCAAGGTACAGGTTACATGTCAGAGGGTTGGGAAGGATGGTAAAAGTAAAAGGGGTAGAATACAAAGGTCAAAGGGGTAGAAGGTATAGGTAAGAGAGTTCAGGATGGAGGTAATTAAGGGTAGAGGATAGAAGGAAGAGAGTAGGGGATGGGGGGGCACAGGGTACATATTATAGAGTAGGGGGTAAATGGTATTTAGGTAATGGTGAAGGGTATGGGTTAAAGGATAGAGGTTAGAGGATACAATATGCAATATAGAGGTAAGAGGGTGTGGGTAGAGGTTAAGGGGTAGATAGAGAATGTCAATTAGTCTACATAATTTTTCATATACATATAGCATATGTATTATTGTTTCAGGATAAAAAAGCTTATGTTTACAAAAAGAGAAAATATCATGTGATTTGCCTTTTTTAAAGTATTTGTAGAGAGAATTATATGGTTTATGCTGTACTGGGGAGCCACTAATGGTGGTATGTTTCATCACCTATATTTTCATTCATATTATATTTATCTTTTAGCAGTAGATAAAACATCGTTTTATTTAATACCGTCTTGTGTCTTGTGCTCCTTTTAACCTTATATTCATGTATACAAAACCTACTATTTCATACATGTATGTCATATTTTTCTTGAATTTTTTAAAAGTGGTGTAATAATCCATTACTTTTGATAATGTCATATACCACTGACCATCCATTATATGCCATGTAATTGTATTATTGAAAGTCATTCTTTTGTAAATTTTAATTACACAATTGAACTACGATGCCATTTTTACGTATTGTTTTATATTGCTTAAGTTAATAGTTGCGTACCATGTTTTAAAACATCTTTTTATCATGATATCAAAGTTTTACGTTTTACATATTTTACACTATTTCCAAACTGATGAATCTTAATGAAAATGTTTTTATCATAAAAAGATTATTGTAATCTTATACAACTTTTAAACATTTTGTCAAGTTCATTACTTGTTCAAATTTTTCTGAATAAGTTTATAAGATACAATTATAAATAAATCCTAATCCCGTACAATCATTATAGAATAGACAACATTCCTCTGTACATTTGTATATTGAGTAGCATTAAATTAAACTGATATTCTCACCAAAGTAACTACCAGTTATAAAGACTGTTTAGACTAGTTCCGTCAACAGCGTATTAAGTTTTTATAAAGATTTTATTTATATTTATAAGGTTTTTTTAAGATTTTTGTCTAATCTGATATTACTGTCCAAAGTTCACAGCTTATATTAGGAACTTCCCTACTTATATAGTATGATGACTTAATTTTAACCTAGGTTTTGTTGTTTTTCACATTCACTTATCTCTTAGGAATTGGACGTATCATATTAACGTCCGTTTTATATTTTCTTATCGCCTCTAACACTTTTTTATTTATCTTCTAGGTTATTTTACTCCTATTTTACCAAAATGTTAAATCGGATACGTTAAGGTTTTTTCAAATCATTAGAATTTTTCACTAGCTTGAGTATGAAATGGTTTTACCCTTTATTTCCATCTTGAGAGTTTTCAAAGAGTAGAGGATCATTCTAAGTAAAGATTATTTCTTTTAAAAGAATTTTGTTGATTGATAGAAATAATCATTGATTTGAGAAGAGTTAAATACGCTACATCCTAAAGCAATCAAGTTTGTAAAAATTCCATTACATTGCCTCTTTTAAAGCTGTGATAAGCTTCGTGTACCAATGATTCAGTGTGTACTGTATAACAATTTAATATAGTATACATACGTACATGTATATATTCTATAAAAGGTGTTTCGCACGAATTTAATACATTATTTTAACGTGTTCTTCAAAAAGAAACGTCATGAAATTACCTATTCCGTCTTTGCGTATTGCATATACCTGTTCTCTTGAGAGCAGGTATTGATTGTTACGTCATTGGTTCGTGTGAGAAAATTACGTCGATTTCTCAAAAATTGATGACGTTACTCTCACAAACCAATGACGTAACAATCGATACCTGCTCACAAGAGAAGATAACTCTGCAATACGCAAAAACGGAATAGCGTAACGATGCATTTAAACTATATCATTTCCGTTTAAGAAGGAAGGAATGTATAATCTTTACACGTGATCAAATAACAATCGATGTGAACTACAGTGCACTACTAGGTATTGAATGGCAATACACAAGGTTTATAACGTGAACTCAACAAGGTTGTTAATTTCAATACATAAGCTAGTGCACTGTGTTAACTTTTCTTGTTATCTCCACTTCACTTGGTAAGTTTGCTTCGAACTGTATGTTTTATCTTAAAATATTAACGAGGAAAGAAAGTAAGGAACAATACATCGACTCCGCTTGTTAAAAATAAGGTATTAGTTTTCAATAAACGGACATCTCTGAAGTACAAGTAAGATCAGTTGAACACATGCTTAAAGCAAATACACATCTTTAAGGTACAGCGCTTTTATCACTCTCAAACTGAATCGATCAAAAAGCAAAAGGTATATACGGATAATCGATTATTTCTGTTGTTTAACTAGACACGTGATATTGACTCATCATACAGTTTGAAAAGATTTGTATCTATTTAGCAATATATTAATTTATTCTATTTTGAAATATCTAAAAAAAAACAATGTGTTACATATTTTATCATGGTTGTTTGAATTTTAATTTCCAAACTAATTTGTCACAAATAAAAGTTAAAGTCTTACCTTCATTATTGTAGTAAAATGGTGCATGCCGAAAAGGTCAGACCTTGATGAATATGTATACAAATGGTCGAAACCTTTCTCGAAGTAATAGGAACTTCCCGGCTGGATGATACAGCACACCACCAGGGCTAGGTACCCTGGGCGTAGGGAACCCATTAGCTGTACCATTGTCAGGGTTTGTCTACCTTTCCCACTGGTAGGCTCCACTGACTGACCTAGACGACAAGGGTTTGTCTACCTCTCACACTGGTAGGCTCCACTGACTGGCCTAGACGACAACATTTTATACCACCGATGTGACATATGTACAATTCTGTGAGGGCGGAGTCTACTAACAGGTAAAACCTTCCTGTATTTAAAAGTTCTCTTTAACTCAATTACTATATACAACTGTGCTGTACATTCTTTCGTATTCATAAGCGATAAAGCACTATGGGCGTGGCCTTCTTGACGAATAACAAAATGTTTAGATTCCGGATGTATTGCTACACGTCTGCATTGAAGACTTTACCTGGCAATAACTTAACCAACCAGAGTAGACTGGGTTTGATCTATGCTTCGGAGTCATTTCGTATACACAGGTACATTTAGGTAATCTCGTTTGAGAAGACCATTCATGGTGTATTTTCACTGCGGTGTAAGTAAAGTACACAATAAACTTTCATGGTAAAGATTTAAGAGATGGGTTTCATCCATCTAATGCTTGCCTTGACAATTTGGTTTTTGATATCGTCTGTCCACGGTGAACACTTTCGGGAACAGTTTACGCACCTGACCGACAAGGAAGACACCATATTTATTAACTCATCAGGCAGGGTTAGGACTATCATAGACCTGGACGACCGCAAAATTGTTAAGGTATGGTTATTCGAGTTGTCTGCTTTGGATATTTAAAGTAGTTGAATATTTTTGAAACGATTGCCATATCCCGTGTATTTGAAATACCTGTTCGCGACAATGCCATCTTGTATGTAAACAGTAAAATAACAATATCTAAAAACTCCAAAGATATTCTATTTATATTGCATATCATACTGAATCCGGTTTTACACTGGCTGAAAGTATAACGATCGTGCGGGACAATGCTTGATTGAGTTCGATGTCGAGATGTATGGCAAGCCAACTTAACATTTATTCAAGGAGCAATGTCGATCCGGTATTTCAAAAAAAAATAAAAAAGATAAGATATCTTATATAGCATATGAGATATCTTATATACTATATAAGATATCTTATATCGTATATAAAGATATCTCATATGGTATATGAGATATCTTATAAAGTATATGAGATATCTTATATAATATATAAGATATCTTATATTATATAAGATATCTCATATACTTTATAAGATATCTCATATAG